CATTAAACAGTTTAATAACCCGCTACATAAATAAAGTATACCTTTAAAGTATATGTCCAGATGTAGGATGGATAATTCCATCTTTAAATGTAATTTGATATGTACTCAATAGTATGTTGTCAATGGGTTGGCTTATAATATTAGAAGCTGGTAAATGCGTGTGTAGACGAAATAATAGATTTTACGAGCGCTTCAGATGGTAGATTAATGCGTCTGAACTCCATTCACTCGGTGAATGCTCAGAACAACCAAAGAACAGCACATTATTACCCCGGATAACTCCAGCTGCCTGTGAGGCGCTACAAGGTTATAGTCACACTACTTATGTCACTGGGTACCCATTTTCTGCTGGGTGAACAGAGGCAATTTTGAACAAACTCACCTAATGGTGAGACCACATGTATCACATGTGCTTCTTTGTGGGGCAGGACTGAAGTTTTAGAAACTTAGATACAGGTAAGAAACTGAAGGTGCCTGTATTGTTCACCACTGTGTTACAACTGTCTTTACATATGTTTGTAGCTTTAGCAAATAAATGTTATTATCCACCATCTTTGACTCGTAGCATTCTGTTAAATTTTAGTCTCAATTTTATTTTATCACGAAATTGTTGTATCAAGTGGTATAAGACAAAGTAAAAAAATCAACAATATAAAGAAAATAATTCTTTGCTCCTACATGGTTACTCTACATGGCTTCACATATTGTACCACTGAGGGGAATCGAACCCGGGTCTTCGGCGTGACGAGCTAATGCTTTAAGGGACCGTTCATAATTTATGGCGAGGGGGGTGATGATGATTTTTATGGAGAAGCAAATACAATGTGGATGCCCCCAAATTTATGTTCAAAGTAAGTGACCCCCTGCATGTCATGTACAAAGTCAATGACCCTCCCTTTCCATATTTTTTAAAGCATAATTTTAAATAGTTGTATGTACAAAATTGCTGACCCTCCTAGAAGATGTGTACAAAATTGCTGACCCCCCCTACCTCCCCAGAACAAAATGGGTGACCCCCCTTAAAATCATCATCAACAACACACACGCACGCACACGCACACACACACACACACGCACACACACACACACACACACACCAGCCTTGAATTATGAACGGTCCCTAACCACTGGGTTACCCCATCGATCCCTTGTAATTTTAAGGCACTTGGTGGTATGGATTATAAAGTTTACAATAAGTTATGTGATAATCTTCAGCCCATTCTTTCATATGGAGCACGGCTGTATAGTTGTATTAATGCAGTTCAACACCGTGCAGCTAGATACTTCTTAGCTGTCGCTGGCAAAATCCTAATTATAGCAGTTCGTGACGAAATATGCTGGGTCTCTCAGTGTACTAAACCCAAAATTGAGTTCTTTTTCGTTTTAGCGTAAACTTCATTTACTCGAATTTAATAGAATACCTAGTATTATTAGTAGACGGTCGGGACATTGGAGGTCAGAGATCTTGATATACTGGAGTTCATAAAGTATTACATGTAGTTAGTTTTCGTTTATATGTACGCCTACCTGTAATTGACTGATTGGTATTTCATATGAGGAGTTTGTTGTTGCCAAAGGACGCCTTAAGGCGTTAGATCGTTTTTCTGGGCTTTGGAATGATAAAGGGCAGGTTAATGAACATAAATTACGTACTTATCGCCTTTTCATAGATTTTTTTACAGGTTGAACATTATGTTGAAATAATTCTACCTAGATCACATCGTAGTATCTTGAGTAAATTCCGTTGTGGCACTTTGCCATTAGAGGTAGAACTGGGTAGATATTCTTGTCCGAAGCCTCCTGTTCATGAAAGGGTTTGTACCCGCTGTTAAGACGAATTACATTTTCTGGTTAACTGTGATTATTATTCAGATCTCCGGTATAATTTTTGGAAAGTAATAACTAGTGTCCATCACTGATTCCCGTCTATATCAGCAGGAGACAAAATGGCATTCGTGCCGACCAATAATCAGTTTATAAAGCTCCTTGCCGCACTTCTCCATACTGTTTTAAAAAAGCGCTGAAATATTTCGGTAGATTAGTTTATTCTATTACTGTCAATTATGTCAGTATTCATTTATCACTATGTTTACCGTTTATATACTTGATGTTTTTTAGCGTAAGAACGCGATTGTGTTCGTATATATAATTTTGTGTATGTGTGTGTGTGCGTTCGTGTGTATGTTTGGGCTTGCACCGCGCGCGTGTTGATGTGACTTTATTATCATTGTTTTCATATACCTGTGATATTTGTGTCCCATAGGCCATATGGCCGATGCTGTTTTTAAACCCCTGGAATAATGAAATGCCTTTTATTGTAATTCAGCACGTGACACAGTTCTTCGCGTAACCCGTGAAGATCCGGGTCTTCAGTAACCCACGCTTGTTGTAAGAGACGACTAATGGGATCGGGTGGTCAGACTCGCTGACTTGGTTGACACATGACATGTCATCGGTTCCCAATTGCATAGATCGATGTTCATGCTGTTGATCACCGGATTGTCTGATCCAGACTCGATTATTTACAGACCGCCGCCATATGGCTGGAATATTGCTGAGTGCGGCATAAAACTAAACTCACTCACTTTTCTTCGTGTAGATTCAGTAAGGGGCAGTGGTATGCAGAGTTCTATTCTTTCCACTGTCTTCTGACCAACAGAATACAGAGTGATCTGGATGGGGCCACTCACCATCATCTGCCTGAGGGAGGCATGTAAGGGGAGTCAGCTATTGCCTCCAATCCCACATTACATCTCAAGTCACCAGAAGACCAGCATTGTGTGTTTTCATCTTGCACAACCCAGACCTATAGTCTGTTTGCAGTGAAAACGTACCGATGAATTTCACGTTAAACAAAAAAGTAAATCAAATAAAGTAAAATTATGATTGCGAATCCTCACAACTTTACCTTGCCAGTTTAACATAAAAATCTCAGAATTTTATTTTACTTAGGATAAAAGTTGTTTAACAAACGATCATAGTTTCAAATCTCTATTATTGGTTTGTATTACAAGGGGGTATGCACATTAAATGAAACCCCGAGAACAAGGGTTGGTTTCTACGGTAGTCTAAGTTAACGCTCATCACGTACCGCACGTGCATTTGTTTCACTGTTCCAACTACTGCGCGTACCCCCTTGTAATACATACCAATAATAGCGATTTGAAACAATGATCGTTTGTTAAACAACTTTTATCCGAAGTTGAATAAAAATCTGAGATTTAAATGTTCAATTGGCAAGGTAAAATTATGAGCATTCGCAAACTTAATTTCACTTTATTTGGTTTACTGTTTTGTTTAAAGTGAAATTCATCGGTACGTTTTCACTGCAAACAGACTATAGTTACAAGTTGGATCACTGTTGCCGAGAAGTGAATATCGCCATCACTGTCTTCATTGCTATAATCACTGCTCTTGTATTATATTGGAGTCTGTACTGCCACACTATTTTGTTCTACCATAGTGAGTGAGTGAGTCTAGTTTTACGCTGCTTTTAGCAATATTCCAGCAATGTAACGGCGGGGGACACCAGTAATAGGCTTCACACATTGTACCCATGAGGGGAAACGAAGACCCAGGCCTGAGGAGAAACGCTTTAACCACTGGGCTACCCCACCGCCCCTGTATTACCATACTCGTAACCATAGTGATACCTTTGTATTGATTTGTGAATGCAGTTAATTTTAGAAATGTAATTTTTTAAGTAAGTAAGCTTGCGCGGGAAAAGGGAGGCAACTCGTGGGTGAGTGAACTTTTACGTCCGCTTTAGTGATCTACAAGGATTCAAGTGTTCCACTACCATTCGCATAGGAGATAAGCAAAATATCATGGGACAGGATAAGGAAAAAATACATTTGACTACATCACACATCACCAATCAACACTTATCAGAGGGGTACACAAAGCCCGCAGTCTAGACTACCAGTTGTCCGACTTCCATTTTTGTGGAAGTCGCGGTAGCTGAGTGGGTTAGGCGGCTGACTTTGTGTGCTGGCGATTGGGTGCCTGACTCTGAGGGTGTGAGTTCGAATCCCGGATGGGACTCAATTCAAAAAAAAGTACTAGAATTTGTACTTTACTAAGAAAGTGTAATCCCAAATATAACACATGTTGCATTTGACCACTTTCTAAATGGCATTGTGTAATCATACATCACATAGCTTTGTTGTTTGTCGGTTTCATATCTATTTCTTTTATGTAGTGATTCCCGGTTAACTATTGAGTTTCCACTTGGGAATCAGCACATAAAGAATTTGTATCATTCACTGCTGTGACTCCACAGATAAAGCGCAAGGTTGATCTCCCTTTGTAATGAAAACAAAGGCAACATTCGCAGAATATGACAGCTGTAAATAATGAGGACCAGATATATCAGTGATTGATATTAATAGCAACGATCCACACAGGTGTCCTACAATAACACAAGATCAACCAAGTCATCATCTAAAACCAGTTACCTGTAAACATCCGGGTCTGGATTGTCATCAGCAATCCATGCAGTAATTAGGTTGAAGTGTCTTTAAGTGTTAACAGATGGAACAGTAGGGAAGGATGTGAAGGCGTTTAATGCAGCTTTGATCAGTATTCCAGTTATATCAACCCTCAAACACAGGTATGAAGCTAGTCTGTCATACAGATCCTAAAAAAAATTTTATCCAAGAAAGCCCATGCAAGTCTAGAATATGTGGCAAGTCTAGATTTCAACAGAAAGTCTCAGGGCTCCTTTTCATTATATCTTTTTATTATTATAAACTCGTTTTTTAGGTGTAAAATATGTTCATTTTGGAGACTAGTTGTTAGTCACACATATGCTGGCACAGATAGAAACAAACAACGCAAAATGATATGAACCCATGTACATGATAGAGCCACACCTGCTCCTAGATCGGAGAAAGATGATCCATGATACCCTGACAATGTCACGGTGGAAAAAAACCCACCCATGTAACACCTTTGGTAAATCTTGTACCAAAATTTTACAGAATGCTGCAAGTCAAAGATGGTGGAAAATGATATTTATTTGTTAAAGTTACAAACAAATGTAAAGACAGTTGTAACACAGAGATGAACAATACAGGCACCTTCAGTTTCTTACCTGTATCTAACCAGGATAGAGAAACAGCCATACATTGACATCAGTACGAGGACCATGAAAATCGATGAAGAAATGCATCCATCATACACAATGTGGAAAATGTCAAAATGAATGTCTTAAGAGATTGAATGAAAAACATTGCAGCATCACATTAAAATCAAGCAAGAGTCAATAAACAGACAAACTTAGTTTCCTGAAATAAGTACAGAGATATCTGTTACAATGTGAAACACAATAGCACTAAACTGTGTAACCATGGCAACTACCATAATTCCTTCAATCTGTATCTAACCAAATATCAGAAGGTAGTTTGAAGGTTAGCCAATTCTGTTACAGCTTTTGTTCTGCCCAAATTGTGGCAGTGGAAAACAATTCACATACAACAATGAAATAAACTAACGAAAAATTCACCAACTTAATCAGACAAGAAATGTTTAATTTTCACATGATATTCTTCATTTGCCATGCATCTGACACTACAACATGGTAGTCCACGTCTCGAGGCTAACGCCTTGTACACTGACAGTTGGTAATTCCCTTGAGGATGGAGCTAGCCAGTACATGCTTACAAATGAAACTCCAAAAGTATACTTAATGCAAGAACAACTGTTCATATTGACAAATTAAGAAAATAATCTGATCTTTCCAATAAGGTTTTCACATGTCAGTGTGGCTGTCATCTCAGCCATTGATTACTAAACTAACAAACATGGAACACCATGTCAATCCAAACACTTTTGTGTTCTGTTTAATGCCACTCCATCACCTCCACATTCAACCTGCTCCTCAAGTGTCAAATTCACAGCTTACTAAAGGGAGATAACTGACTGGCAAATATCCTGTGTTATGATTGAAGGTGGGAAACATCCTTTCTCAGCCTTGGTGTCTCAGTTGCCGCGGCCTTTCCCTGGCTTCTGCTGACCTCCACCACCACCTCCTCGACCTCCACCACCACCACCACGACCTCCTCGGCCTCCAGCTGAGAATGCACCTGAACAAAACATCAGTCAGCAAAATGACATTGATAGCATGTGGTTCATCTTACAATTAAGTGAGTGAGTGAGTTTAGTTTTATGCTGCACTCAGCAATAATCCAGCTATATGGCAGCGGTCAGTAAATAATCCAGTCTGGCCCAGACAATCCAGTGATCAACAGCATGAGTATCGATTTGCGTAATTGGGATACGATGACATGTGTCAACCAAGTCGGCGAGCCTGACCACCCGATCTCGTTAGTTGCCTCTTACGACAAGCATGGGTTGCTGAAGATCAATTCGAACCCAGATCTTCACGGGTCTCTTACATAAGTTACAAATAAGAGTAGCTGTGAGTGAGTGAGTGAGTGAGTGCATGGGTTTCACATCTCACTGAACAGTATTGCAGCTATATCATGCTGTGTCAGCTTAATGTGGTCGGAAAGCCCAAAGTAAATTGTGTCTCAGACGTTTACCACTTCAGGGAAACATAAATACTGACATATATTATGAGGAACCATAAGATCTAGCTGGCTCATTGGGTAGACATCGACCCAAATACTCTGATGTAATTTGTCTCCTAGAGTTTTTCATTTTCCAGGCTTTTCAAAAAAGATTGAACACAAGAACAGCATTTTCATCACTGTTTTTGATATGCATCCAATTATCATAATGTTTTTACCAATACGACAGGAATGGAGCAGTAAGGTCTACTCTGACCAGGGTTGTTAAGACATATGAATAAAGAAGACAACCTACCTCTCCCTCTCCCACGCTGTCCTCCCCTCCCTCGCATGTCGCCACGACCTTTGTTCTTCTGGATGACCTCTTCCTTCACCATGTCGATGACCTCATCAGGGATTCTGAGGTACTTGATTGTACTTCCTCGAATGTAGCACTCTGGCATCCTCCAGAATCTGTCACCATCCTGAAATATGACACAAGATATCAGGTGAGGGGAAGGTCAATAGGGGTTCAACGTTATATGCATGGTTGTCAAACTTATATGGTGACTGTGCTGCTTGCACAGTGTGTACGAGTCTGGGCTAATGCCAGTTTTATCATGATTATAGTGTAGGCTCACTGACCACACTCAGATACCATGCCATGTTTAAAATGATACAAACTAAGACACATCATATAGACTGAGCCCAGACCATTTTTATGATATTAAAGCATTTTAATACTAGGGCTGCAATGATTTGGTTTGATTCATTGAAAATCGAATCTGACACCTTAGATTCGATTTTCGATAACCATTATCACTATTTCGATTCAATATTTGAATACTATTTAAATTATTTCCACACTGCCAGAACATAATTTGGACTCCAACTGTGGCAGTCCTGAGCGCTGAAATACGGCAAAATGTGATTGGTTGACGCCGCGCTTATTATCCAATAAGAATTGTTGTTAATAGACATCGCCAAGTTGACAATGGATTTCATGCTAAAGAAGCTACTCTGAGAGTTAAATGAAATCTGATGTTTTTACTTGTATGAAGAAAATGATCAAACTGAGGGTCCAACATCGAAAATCGAATTGAAGTCTGGGTGAATAATAGCAGCCCTAATTAATAACAAACAAAAGGCAGGAAAACTACAAGTACATTTCTTAGCTTCTTTCGTATGATGTGGTCATGGGATTATACAATCAATCTTGCCAGACTGACACTCGTATCCCCTACACCATGGAGATGGTAACATGAGCTATAAGTGGAATTTTTATATGAGTATTCTATGCATGTGATATTTTTTAACTAGGGTTGAGAGATGGTTGGCATTTCATCATTAGTCATTCTTTATGAGATTTTTTTTCTGCATGAATTTACCCGAGATGTGCAGATAACCTCCCTCAAGTTTATGTTCATCCAGTTATCACAGCTAACAAGATGTCCATTGTACGTTTCGCCATTCTTCAACTCAACCAGCTGAAAAGAAGTAAAAATACAACATTTGTCATTAACATGATTAATTGGATGAGTGACTGAATGAGTGTTTAATGCTGCTTTACACAGTATTTCAGTGACCGCCTCTGTGGTGTAGTGGTTAGAGCCTCCACTTCACCTCAGTATTTCAGTTATATTGTGTCACTTTCATGTGAGGAAAGCATGAAGTGATGCAGGTTTAAGAAGTTAAATTTTTGCCAGTAGGCATTAAAGAATATCGGCTTTCTGATTAAAAGTTAAGACCTCTTCAAGATAGTATGATTCTTATATAAACTAATCTGGACGACATGAATACATGCAACTGATGGAAGAGCCAGAATTAGCTCTGAAATGTTTTGATAAAGAACATAAAGAATTATCAATAAAACGTGTTATGTATTCATAAACTAATCATGGTAATTACTATGAGCATTACTACATCAAGGACACAATAAAATTGGTATATGAGAGTAATGCACTACTAGTATTTTTCATCAAGTATGTAAGATTTCAAATAGCCCCACATGGAGAATTGAACTGATACTGATAATGAGTAATCTACAATGATAAGTTAACACTTTAACATAAGATCATAAAAAAAAACCAAATAAGTGATCTTCGTACAACTTAGCGACAGGAAATTGTTTAATTTGATGCTATTATTCTCCGTGAAACTAGAATCTGGATGAACAGCTAACCTTGAGGATTTTGAAAGGTTCTAGATCATAAAAGGTATCCTAGGGTGTGGGAAAAACCTACACAACAAGCATGATTTGGGGTTAGGGTAAACCCTTACACAACTAACCCTCTAATGGTGGTGAGATCAGTGAAGTGAGTGAGTTTTACGTCGCTTTTAGCAATATCACGGCGAGGGACACCAGAATTGGGCTTCACACATTGTACCCATTTAGGGAATCGAACCAGGGTCTTTGGTCTGATGAGCAAACGCTTAAGTCTTTGATCTGTGCAGAGAGAATCAAAGTGTGCAGACAGCGCTAATTAGTGCTAAATGTAAGTCTTGCCACACAGATACTGATATGCCATGTATACACTTACCATCGGGTGGTTGACAGCAGTTCTTAGAAGTGATAAGGGTAACTTGAAAAAAAAGAGAACATCTTTATAACAAGATTGAAAACGAAATGGACTCTTAACTGAAGATCAAGTGAATGACGATAAATACACAAGTGTAGGGCTTATAAGATAAAACATGGATGACAAGAAGGGAGTAGTAATGTTTGTACAGAATGCAATTTGCCTGGAAAAGTAAGAGTCTTTGCTGTTTTGAGCAGATTAAGTTAATGTCACTGTTGCAAAACTACTACGTAGACGTAAAATTTGAAATGCTGTATACTGATGTACATAACTGTACATACACATGTTCACACAAATACGAATTTGCAAAGTGAAAGTTTTTCGTAAGCACAATCAAATATGAGAATTCAAGGGGATTCCCCTGGTTTTCAGTTTGTTGGATGGCTCACTGGCTGACGATACTTGGCATCCAGTGTCAGTGATTACGAGGGCTAATTAGAATTATACTAAAAGTTAGAGTTTTTTCCCTTTAAAAAATGGAATTTCACAAACTATTCAATGAACAAAACCCAACATTTAGACCATTTGTTTAATAAAACCATTATTAAAAGTTTTGTGTTTTCAACATATGAATTATCAATGTGTTACACTGCGACTGAAGGTAACGTAGTCATCAAACAAGTGTAGTCTTACCATTGTAATGGCATTCGATGTGAAAAAAGGTTTGGACCCAGATTTTTCTTCAAAACATGTTTTTAAACCGGAAACAGATGGAGCGACGGCGTTGATATGTCGTAAACAACCAAATTCTTTTACAAGCTTAAAAATATAATCCTTGTTCCAATAGGGTATTAATTACAATAATAACTTTGCATTCAGAGAATACCGGTATGTTTATGTACGATTTAATCCATAACATTGTTCAAAACTATTACGACTATAACGGAAAACGGACACTTCCGTCAACAAATGCACGTGTTTTGGCGGGTTACACTGACAGTGATCGCGCGTCGGTTTACAGATCATGTAGACATTTTCCAGTGTTGCCCATTGGTCCACCGTGTACAGTTGTTCACGATGAGTGGTAAAAGACCACAACTGTCCGATGGTGAAGTTGTCACAAAACGACAAAGACCACCAAATCTGGAGGATGTACAAATAAATCCCAAAGTGAAAAATCTGAAATCAACATTTAAAGATGCCTTTAGCCTGAAGCAGTCTCTGACAGATGGTGAGAACGTTTTATGAAATACATTGTGTTGTTTAGATCTGGTGATGATTTACAGAAAACGAAAGATTAATCGAATCAGGTGGATAATGTCAAATGAACTGCACTACTGCCAAACACATTGAATGAGACCATGGCATTGATCACCAGCGTTCGATTTCAATTGTGCTTGGTACATGCAGTCCTCAAGATGCACCATTAGCGTACACGATGTGATAAACTTACATGGCATGTATGACATCTTTACATCAAATCTTAAAGTCAACGTTTCAAAAGTCCAAAGAGTTTAATCATATTTTTAATACATTTTTACCTGCAGTATGCAGATCGGTGAAAATAATAAAACTGCAATACCCACAGAACCACAAACTTAAAAATCATGCAGGTACTTAAATCATCAATGTTCTAAACATTAGGGGTGAAATGGTATGCTCATACCATGGTATGGTACATATTGCAGTTCAAGGCTTTTGGTTCGACCCGTTTCCGTTTTTCAGTATGATCACAATGCACACAAGAAAAGAAACGCATAGATTTTGACAAAATTATTCGATTTCTAGACATTTTAGAAAAGGTTTAAAAGGGTTAATAAAATGACAGTACGAAAAACGAAAATACTGACTTTTTGAATTGCATTACGGTATACCGAACCGAAGGTAAAATACGAGGTTCTACTAATACCGCGATATACCGTTTCACCCCTACTAAACCTACGCGGGTGGTGGTGTAGCCTAGTGGTTAAAGCGTTCGCTCGTCACGCCAAAGGCCCGGGTTCGATTACCCACATGGGTACTATGTGTGAAGCCCATTTCTGGTGTCCCCTAGCCATGATATTGCTGGAATATTGCCAAAAGTGGCGTAAAACCCAACTCACACACTCTAACCATACACAAAAAAGTCATTTGTGTGTCAAATCTTGTTATGACCGGAGAATATGTAACAAGTGTGATCATGAAAAGAGTTTTTGCATTATCACAGGGGCAGTGGGGTAGCCTAGTGGTTAAAGTGTTTGCTCATCATGCCGAAGGTCTGGGTTCGATTCCCCACATGGGTACAATGTGTGAAGCCCATTTCTGGTGTCTCCTGCCGTGATATTGCCTGTATATTGCGACAAAGTGGCGTAAAATCCAACTCTCTCACTCACTCATTATCACACTTGATAAGATGTTGTTGTACCATGCAAATTTGTTTTGTTTAATTCGTCAGACATTACTGGCATGAAGCTACAAACAGAACAATCGTTGCTGTGTCTTGTATAAAATTTTTAGAATCAAATTGGTGATGTTAATCTATGACAATGATGTCACATCATGCTTCATGGTCTAGAGTTCATTTCATTTATTTGCAGATGACAGTGGGTGTTGTATGAACCAGTTGCCCTTCACACACTGTTTACTGCCAGACTTCATCCAAGAAACCAGCTTCCTGGAAGATCTGGAAGCTGAACTTCTGGCTGTGCCTTTTGCAGAAAAAAACAATGACTTGTATAAATTCAAACAGGTTAGTAACCATGGAAAAGTTATTTCTTTTACCAGTAGTTACAAACTAGATACTGCATTGCTGTAGTGTCGATATGGTAGTTAGATGACTTAAAATACAATGCATCAAAACTCATCACTTGTCAAGTCAAGATGCTGAGCCAAAAGCATTCATATATGCTACTATACTACTCAACGTTTGATAAGGATAATCAGACATGTCATTCAATATACACTTGACATTTTATCATGTCTAGCTTGTAATTATTCATACCTGCTTTACGTGTTTAATGCCATTTTGAAATAATGACTTTTCAATGTGAAACTACTGTACGATTTTACTGATTTGTTTAGTGTTTGTGGCCGTTGTGTGTCTGAACTTTAAAGGTTTGTTATTTCAGAGTTCAGATCTGAAGAAGACATCTTCCCCAAGCATAGCACGTCTCAAGTGAGTCACTGATTATTGATTTACAAACGTATCATGAGATAAAACTATTGAAATTTGTATAGAATTTCACAAGAGGGCTGAACAGTTGTAATGTTGATGAGCTCTGTATCTTAGTCAAGTTAGTGCTTAAATGAATAACTTAGTCAGTGAGTGATCTTTGCATATTAGAACACTTTGTCAAAGTGAATGGTATTGACAGTCGTGCCCCGTTTATCCGAACCTCAGATATCTGGAAAACTCGCCTTCCGAACGAAAATTCCTCAAAACGAATTCACAATGTTGTAAAATTACTCACTTATCCAGAAATCCGGTTTCCGTGACCGGATGGTCATATTCACATACGAAACGCTAAATTATATGTATTTTTTTCTCGTATATCCGGATGTCTGAGCACCTGTCAGTATGTTTACATCGCATTTATCTGAGTGGCCTTGTGTGCCATAACATAAAAGAAGTCGGCAGTCTTTGAGGCGTGAGAGGATTAACTACCTGTAATTAGCAAGGTGACACTGAGTTAATTTTTAGTTGTGATTGGCAAGGCTAGACGTCCCCGTTGTTTTGGTAGTGATTTTAATCCAGAAGTTTATGTTAGATACAGGAACGCGAACGCGTGGATGATATCAGAACTGTTTTGTGATTGGTTGCTAGCATTTGCTAGACAGATGCATGTACAGGTATGTTCGCACGTGTTATTGACTTGACTACTTTACTTGACAAGATGTGATTTTATGTATGCATTGTTATTTGTTGATGTCTTATCAATAAAGATTACATCTCAGGTCTATTATGTTCGTTTCTTTGTATGTCTTTTTACATATGGTCTGTGGTTCAGATATCCAGAAATTCGTTTATCCGGACAATTTCAAGAAAAACACAAGTGTCCGGATAAATAGGGCACAACTGTATTTAACTATTTTTTCAACTCTACTTTAGTTCTGTTTGTAAACATGGTAAATATGAGTTGAAGTTTGAAATACAGAAATCTGTACATCCACTCTGCTATCTATGGTATGGTCACATTTGTTTTCTGTCATGTTTCTACCAACACTTTTCAGAAAACTATTGTATGAAGATTTCCATGGATGGCTAGGAGAGGTCACAGATATTCCACTGACGTCAAATGTGGACCTATTCTGTTCTCAGTATAAATACACGGGTAAGGCACAGCGAGCGTGGTAAGATAATCAGGCCTGATAAGGAATGCAGTAATCATTCCTCAGTTGTGTTTGGATAAGGGTAGGTTAACCCCAGCTTTCTTCTTTGCCCTCAGCTTCGATCAAGCACCTTTCATAATCTTTAGGGTTAGGAAGCCCTTTCTTTGACAATCAAATACTTATCAATAGTCCCAATGGTTTGGTTCTATTTTGCTGACCATAGGGTTAGTTTTAAATAGGATATGGGTTAACTACCACTTTGAACAAAATAATCCGTGTAATTTGAGGAAATTCGAATTTTGTAGTTTCAGGTTTTGTGGAGGAAATAGCTACTGTGAACATGGTGAATGTACATGAAGGTTAATAATAGGATGTTGATTCTTGGTAGGGAAGAACTAATAATTTGGGACAGCTTCTATGGTTTTATGATAAAACATTGACAAATCAGATTAGAAATGTTTGGTGTATTTTGGCTGCAAATTGGCAGCTGGGGTTGTTTCCTCCTTGCACCACCAAAACTCCTTGCAAATTTTCCCAGGGTTTGCAGGTCCAGACTGCTTCTGGATGCCATGATGAAACTTGACTATTGCTAATTTGTCATGACCATTTGTTTGTCAAGATGCCCAGAGTAGGAAGGGAGTATATCTTGAGTGAGTGAGTTTAGTTTTACGCCGCAATCAGCAATATTCCAGCTATATGGCGGCGGTCTGTAAATAATCAAATCTGGACCAGACAATCCAGTGATCAACAGCATGAGCATCGATCTGCACTACTGGGAACCGATGACGTGTCAACCAAGCCAGCGAGCCTGACCACCCAATCCTGTTAGTCGCCTCTTAGACAAGCATGGGTTACTGAAGGTTTATTCTAACCCGGACCTTCATGGGTCAGTATTTCTTGTAGCATGTGATGTCACTCTGTAGTTTTCTCCTCATACCGATGTTTTGTGCAAACACAGATGTGTTGTTGTGTCACGATGACGAGTTGGAGGGGCGGAGGATTGCCTTCATCTTTTACCTGGTTCCTGAAAGCTGGGGGGAAGCTGATGGCGGCATGCTTGACCTCTTCGACATGGATGGTAAGATGACAGACCCATCACTTTCTTGTATTTTTGTTTGGTATTTTTTTGTTTAACGTTCCACTCAGCAATTTGCCAGCTATATGATGAGGGTTTCGTTCTTTTAGGTATGTGTGATAGCCAAATGGTTTAGGTGTTTGCTCATCATGCTGAGACCACCTCCGTGGTGTAGTGGTTAGAGCGTCCGCCCGGAGAGTGGAAGGTCGCGGGTTCGATCCCTGACCCCGTCATACCAAAAGACGTTAAAATATGGCACATGTTGGTCCCTGTCTGGCGCTCGGCATTAATGGGTACAACAAGGACTGGTCGGCTCGGAGTCAGTATAATGTGTCTGAGTGGGGTATTCATGCTTCACTGCGGCATGGTATCTCAGTGGGCTAGGACTATAAAACCAGCTTCAGTCTGGGCTAGTACAAGCAACCGCACATACACATACACATGCATGCACGTCGTCATATGAGCGAAATATTCTCAAGCATGACGTAAAACCCAATTTCACCTCACCTCATCATGCTGAATGTCACTGTCATTATGTCATTGATTACTTAAGTTGAACCAGAATCAGACAAATGGTTATGGGAACCAGAAAAAAACCAGTTTGTCTATTGTGACAATTGACATATGTTCAGTTTATGTAAACCATAACCAGCTTTTCATTCGTGTCAGTTAGGATTTTTGTTTGTTTGTGCTTAACACTGCTCTCTTGATGAGTGAGTGAGTGACTTCAGTTTTACGCCGCACTCAGCAATATTCCAACTATATGGCGGCTGTCTGTGAATAATTAGGTATGGACTAGACAATCCAGTGAACAACATCTTGAGCATCAATCTATACAATTGGGATATGATGACGTGTCAGCCCAATCCCTTTAGTCGCCTCAAGCATGATTTGTTGAAGACTAATTCTAATTCAGATCTTCACGGAACTGATATGAGTTCAATATGGTCTGAAGTTTTGAAGTATCAAGGCACCACTTTACACCTAAGTTCTGAGTTCTTAAATAAATAAACATTGAATGGGAGAGCATGTTTACGTCAAGCAGTTACCTCATTGGTGACTGACATTATGTGGAGTGTTTTAGACTTTTGACATAGGTCTTTCCTGCCAGGGGTGCTTAATTTTGAATCCTGGATACATCTCTGAATACTGCTAAAATAAACCAATACTCATTGTAAATATATGCCATGAAGGGACTGATTATGCCAATATTATGTGGTGTCTTAAGGAATATTTCACAAACAGCACCTGGTAGTTAGTTTTCATGATTATCTTTCAGAGCATGGACAACCAAACACGGTTGTGAAGTCTGTTTGCCCCCAGAGAAACTGTCTCGTTTTCTTTGAGGTGACAGAGGCATCATTTCATCAGGTGAGTGACCGACAACATGAGGTGCAATCCACAACGTGGGGCTGGATAAGGATAGAAATGCATTTTCTTCAAGTGTGCCACAGGGCCTCACACAGATGTGCCCATTGCAATTTAGGTCTGCCAACTAGAAGACTAATTTTGGTCCATCATCATGGTTTGATCAATATGATCAAACATACCATTGTTACTGTTGTTTTAAGGACGGTGGGGTAGCCTAGTGGTTAAACCGTCCGCTCGTCATACTGAAGACCCGGGTTCGATTCCCCACATGGGTACAATGTGTGAAGCCCATTTGTGGTGACCTCCACTGTGATGTTGCTGAAATTGCTTATTTTATCTAGAGGTGTACCTACAGAGATGTTTTAGCTTTTAATTTACTCAGCCAAAATTAGCTGTATTGCAAATGTATAAATGCTTGGTGTGAACATGTTTTTAGTTAGGCCTGGCCATGAATATTTTTGGGCCCTGTACCTTTTTACTTTGGGGATATAGTTCAGAGTTTGTTTCCAGAACCTGTGTTTGGGCATATCTGACACTGAAGAATGATGACAATTTCATGGATATACAGCTTCTTTATTCTGTGAAAGGGCGACGTTTCGACATAGATTCTAATGTTGTTGTCAAGCAAGGGAACCTATGTGGAAATGTCGCCTTTCACAGAATAAAGAAGTTGTATATCCATAAAATTGTCATGTTCATTCTTCATCACCTCAACTTTTAAATACCCATCAAAGAAGTTTGACTATTAACTTTGTATGTAGCACATGCTCTTTTAGTCTGAGATGCTACAGTTTTGGGGCTGACTTATTATTATTATTATATGATATTTGTATAGCGCGCCAATATCCAGCTCAGCTCAGCTGCTCAAAGGTGCTTTATTTTTCCCTTGATCATAGAATGTCAATCTCAACGGCACATCGTATTATCAATCCCAACTCCCTGGCGATCATACAACTCTTGTAGTGATGTAGGTGCACAAAGTTAATGTGGCTTTCCCATCCTTTTGAGGTACCCATTCACAGCTGGGTGGACTGGGACACATAGTCACAGTACTTTGTCCAAATTTACTGCACGTTGCTGTACCCAAAACTAGGTGTTTGCACATATTCATGTGGGCCACCATCTGGTCTTTTGAAGTGTAAGGATTTATGATTGTGGGTCTGAATCCAAGATTATCTGTGAATTCTATCATTATGATGTTATATTATACCTGTAACTCGTTCACTACAGGTAGCTGAGATTCTCTCAGAGAGCAAGTGCCGACTCTCTGTAAGTGGCTGGTACCATGGTCCTGGTATACCCAGATCTAAACCCTACGTGGAAACCCTACCTCCTCTTATCACACCAAACAATATAGATGTAAGTAAACATTTTGTCATTGTTTAGAAGACTGAGCATTAGGCCATGATAAATGATCATTTGTGTTTCATCCCCACCCATCTGGTGACTGAACTCACCACATGATTTTGTTGTCACGAAGGACCTGTAGATGAAGAACATCACTTAAAGTGTCCCCTTTTTCCATACTTCATGAAGCATGTGCATTTTATACTTCCAACGAAGGATTGATATGCTATTGTATATTTGCTGGGACAATGTGTATGACGTGTTTATAGTCAGCTTGAAACCATGGTTACAGGAGGATGACCTATACAGCTGGATCAACCCAATCTACCTCAACCCGGAAATTCAGGCCGATATAAAGGAGAAGTTTGAGAATGATTCGGAGATTGAACTAAAGGACTTTCTCCAGGTATCATAGAGGAAGGCAATACATGATTGTTATAGAAACTGTTTGTAGACAGATCACACCGAAGGATCCGTCAAATCATATCACATCGTACTGCCTTCAGCTGCAGGAATAGACTTCCAAGAGGCTTGTTGTAAGCATTGGTTGGTGTTTTGAAGGTATTATCATTGGTTCCTTCCAATCATTGGCAAATAAACTCAAATTATATAGGACATTGGGATGTGGGGAAGGATGTGTTCAGATGCAGTAAAGGTTGGGATCAGATAGAATAAAGGACAGGATACAGATGATACATTAAAGGATAGGATCAGATGCAGTAAAGGTTGGGATCAGATAGAATAAAGGACAGGATACAGATGATACAGTAAAGGATAGGATCAGATGCAGTAAAGTATAGGATCAGATGCAGTAAAGGATAGGATCAGATGCAGTAAAGGTTGGGATCAGATAGAATAAAGGACAGGATACAGATGATACAGTAAAGGATAGGATCAGATGCAGTAAAGTATAGGATCAGATGCAGTAAAGGATAGGATCAGATGCAGTAAAGGATAGGATCAGATGCAGTAAAGGATAGGATCAGATGCAGTAAAGGATCAGGATCAGATGCAGTAAAGGATAGGATCAGATGCAGTAAAGGAGGTGATCAGATACAGAAAAGGATAGGATCAGATGCAGTAAAGGAGGTGATCAGATGCAGTAAAGGATAGGATCAGATACAGTAAAGGATAGGATCAGATACAGTTAAGGATAGGATCAGATGCAGTAAAGGATAGGATCAGATGCAGTAAAGTATAGGATCAGATACAGTAAAGGATAGGATCAGATGCAGTAAAGGATATGATCAGATGCAGTAAAGTATATGATCAGATGCAGTAAAGTATAGGATCAGATACAGTAAAGGATAGGATCAGATGCAGTAAAGGATAGGATCAGATGCGGTAAAGGATAGGATCAGATACAGTTAAGGATAGGATCAGATGCAGTAAAGGATAGGATCAGATGCAGTAAAGTATAGGATCAGATACAGTAAAGGATAGGATCAGATGCAGTAAAGGATATGATCAGATGCAGTAAAGTATATGATCAGATGCAGTAAAGTATAGGATCAGATACAGTAAAGGATAGGATCAGATGCAGTAAAGGATAGGATCAGATGCGGTAAAGTATATGATCAGATGCAGTAAAGGATAAGATCCGATGCAGTAAAGTATAGGATCAGATAGAGTAAAGGATGTGATCAGATGAAGTAAAGTAGGTGATCAGATGGAGTAAAGGATAGGATCAGTTGCAGAAAAGGATAGGATCAGATGCAGTAAAGTATAGGATCAGATGCAGGAAAGGATAGGATCAGATACAGTTAAGGATGGGATCAGATGCAGTAAAGGATAGGATCAGATACAGTTAAGGATAGGATTAGATACAGTAAAGGATAGGATCAGATACAGTAAAGGATAGGATCAGATGCAGTAAAGGATAGGATCAGATGGAGTAAAGGTTATAGGATCAGATGGAGTAAAGGATAGGATCAAATGCAATAAAGGATAGGATCAGATGCGGTAAAGGATGGGATCAGATACAGTAAAAATGTGATCAGATACAGTACGGGATAGGATCAGATGCGGTAAAAGATGTGATCAGAAAGAGTAAAGGATGGGATCAGATACAGTACGGGATAGGATCAGATGCAGTAAAGGATAGGATCAGATACGGTAAAGGATGTGATCAGATAGAGTAAAGTATAGGATCAGATGCAGTAAGGGATGGGATCAGATAGAGTAAAGTATAGGATCAGATGCAGTAAGGGATGGGATCAGATAGAGTAAAGTATAGGATCAGATGCAGTAAGGGATGGGATCAGATAGAGTAAAGTATAGGATCAGATGCAGTAAGGGATGGGATCAGATAGAGTAAAGTATAGGATCAGATGCAGTAAGGGATGGGATCAGATAGAGTAAAGTATAGGATCAGATGCAGTAAGGGATGGGATCAGATGCAGTAAAGGGTGGGATCAGAGCAGTAAAGAATGGGATCAGATACAGTAAAGGAGGTGATCAGATGCAGTAAAGGATGGGATCAGATGCAGTAAAAGATGTGATCAGATAGAGTAAAGGATGGGGTGAGATGCAGTAAAGGATAGGATCAGATGCAGTAAAGGATAGGATCAAATACAGTAAAGTACTAGATCAGATACAGTAAAGGACTAGATAAGATTCAGTAAAGGACTAGATGAAATACAGTTAAGGACTAGATCAGATGCAGTAAAGGATGTGATCTGATGCAGTAAAGGATGTGATCTGATGCAGTAAAGGATGTGATCTGATGTAGTAAAGGATGTGATCTGATGCAGTAAAGGATGTGATCTGATGTGTTGTGTGTTTGCAGGATGACAAGTACAAGATGGTTCTGCAGGCTATGAGTGATGTGGGTGTGTCCTGGTCCACACAGGGGCCTCCCAACAAAAGGTAGGGCATGTAACATGATGTGTATAGTAAATCCATACAATACTCCATTTCCCATGGGTGTTGTAGGAGTCTCTGAAATGACAAGTAGCTTGCCACACTCTGTTGTTGGTTGATAATGGTGTTGCAGATGACTCACAGTTTGTATCATCATGTATCCTCACAGGGGCGGTGGGGTAGCCTAGTGGTTAAAGCGTTCGCTCTTTACGCCGAAGACCCCGGTTCGATTCCCCACATGGGTACAATGTGTGAAGCCCATTTCTGGTCTCCCCCATCGTAATATTGCTGGAATATTGCTAAAAGAGGTGTAAAACACAACTCACTCACACTCATTCTTCACAGTAGCGATGTACATGCCTGTGTAAAGTAAGCTAGATGAACAGCTATATTCATGCATTATTCACTACATTAGGGTTTAAGTAAGTTTGATGCCTGCATTCGATCATTAACACAAAGATCACTAATCTTGATATAGTATCACAAAGTAAGAAGAAGATTAACATTTATCACACACTTGGTCATTATCAGCCAGAATATACAACAGTAGTGACATGTCAGTAGACAATAGTCATGATGAAACTACTTGTGCTGTTTCTAGGGTGTTACTGTTAGTTATTGTACATCAATATTGCTAACTCCTGCTTTTTTAGTGTTTTGAACTCAGATTGAAGAATATGTGTTTCAGAAACTATGATGCATGCAACGATGGGGATAGGCCAGAGGTCCTTTCAAAGTGTGTCAACTTCCTTCAGTCCGATGCCATGTTCCTTATTCTCTCCAACCTGACAGGACTCAAACTTCATGAGTTGGCGCGCCATCGTCCGATGATGAGGAAGAGGCAGCAGACACCGCCAACGGAACAGCCAATCAGAGTAAAGGTATCCTGTTGTGTCAGTCTGCTGACTGCTGCACTGGCGTAGTGTCATCAAGTGATCTTTGTGGCATGATGATTAACTTATCTAAGGAGACATGCCAGGGCTCCAGATAAGGGTCGTATCGGTGTATGTACGGATAAAAAATATGCAAATTATGGTAGGAAATAGTTTAGAAAGCGTAGCAGATACGCACTACAGCAATGGTGTACGGTCTTAGAATCATTTACAGACGTATTTATCTGAAAAAGTATTGTTTTATTGTTTATTGACCTGTTTACACAAGAGTAGCAATGTTGTGGTGCATATATGAAACGAAACACAAGATTACTGATACGCCATTAATTTCCATTCAGTACTCTAAATGCTCTCTTAAGGTTTTCCAGTACTCCTATATTGAATAAATAAGGAGTATGTACTCCTGATCATGAAAAATTATCTGGAGCCCTACATGCTTTAGATTTGGCACTAGGAATATCTTGCACACTTCTCAGGAGCGAACACATTATTGTTATGTAGAATAAAGACAAAGTAATATTGTTGAACATTTCATCTGTTCCCCAGTATGAGTACTGATTGTCCAATCTCATTTAAAATCGGATCCTTGTTCTTATATAATTAAATACAGATGAGCCGACATCCCATAACAGGTCATGTCACAATGACCTTGCGTTTGACCAATCAGTGCTTACCAATTTTGGAAAGTGACAGTTGAAAAAGGATTTCTTATCATGCGACATGGAAATGGTTAACACATCATATCCTGAATAACTGGTATAGTTTTAATGTCATATTAAAATTATCTTACTCATTCACTCACTTGTGGCATGATATAATCAGTAGATATCTTATTACATCAGGACTACAAACACTCATGCCAAGGGTTAACATTATACTTGTTGAAGATGACATACTATCACAAATCGTGTTAATTAACTTTTCAGAGTTTGGGGGCAACCCTCAGTGCCGGAGTGTGGTACGGCAGTGGCGGCATGGCAGCTACACCCTCATTCATGACACAGACAGCGAGGGCTCCGAGTACGCCCTTGACGCCTTCATGTATTTCGGATGTCCAGGTAAAGAATTAAGGCAATCTCTCAACACTGGCAGCTACTGGTTTGTAAGATAACAATTCACAGAATATGTTGCAGTGAATTGCCAGGTGCAAACAACCAAGAAGAATAGAGATGGGGAGTAAAAAATGAATGTTTGAGATGACTTTTTCAAGAATGATGATTGGTGAAACATTCATTCTTATGGAAGGGCACGGTCTGGATGAAATGCGCAGTGACGATATTAGGGAGCCTTGTCCACTCCTCTTGTAGAACCTCTCCCAGTTTGTATAATATACCATGTGATCTTTACATGTCTCCTGATCATGTCCCAAACCGGGGGTGTGGGGGAGAGGTCAGGATTCATGACTGCCTATTCAGTGTTCACGAATAGCGTCTGACCCTCTGACAAATCCGGCAGATTCGCCAACGGTCCGATAGAAGTCTACAACCCGCCGGCCCCAGTGTCTGACTGTATTTTTCACAATGACTTTGGCTGTTATATGTGACATGTGACACTTATTTGCCATTTATAAATCTTATGTTTGTTAATAATTTCAATGCCAATTATGAGAAATGTTAAATCGGAAATGTGTGTTTAATTTATTCTATGGGTCCTTTGAATTTTGAATGGGTCAGACAGACATCTGAAACTTACAGGACCCAATGTCCTGTTACTTTGAAACACCATTCGTGAGCACTGCCTATTGCACTCAGGTGATGTTGTTGCTTGTTGTTTTACACAAAGTGCAGGGTGGGCACAAGTGTTATTATCTTGAAGGGCAAACTGTGGACCAGTGTGGTGAGCAAATGGCTCAAGTGTTAGAGCCAGTATGTTGTCTCAGTAATGAAGTGACCCTCTGTAGACACAGACTCATCAGGATCTCACCCCATATCTGAGACCAGACCCAAAGTCTGTCATGTTGCCTCCTGTTGACATTCTCATTAGGATGCTAGCAGACTCACCCTGACTGTCCAGAAAGTCCAGACATAAGATGGATTTGCATGACAACTTTATACAAGACCAATGGTGATTTTACCCAGTATCTGTGGTCGAAACTCTATAGGTGTGTGGCTAGAATGTGTCAGTTTGTTAATGGTGGTACAACATGAGGTCACTGAGCATCAGAACAGCTGTAGTTGGTCAGTAGTGTTGGGAATTGGTTGAAATCTCACAATTGACAATTGGTTCATTACCAATGAGCAATCATCGAAAAAAATTGGTTAGCGTCATTTTTCAGAGTTTTCTATTCAGGTTGTTATTGCAGATAAGTATAACATGGTTTTCTGTTGTTGTTTTGGGGGTGTTTTTTTATTTAGAAACTGCGCAAATTTCATTGTAAATTTCACATCCAATGCAAAATGATGCAAATTGCTACTTTAAAGTGATGACTAATATATCATGAACATAAACTTCCCAGAATCTTCAGGAAATATTCAGTCATAACATTTCAGTAAGTGAAGAGAGTATTCTAAGAATTAAACACGTTTTCAGGCCCTGATAACTTGTAAGATATGTTCCTTCATCAAGTGTTTCAAACACTAAAACAGTAGTGACAAAATTGTTTGTGTTCGATTATGAGAAAAGGTGATCGATCGCTTGGTTGTTTGGTCACTGCGACCAATCTATGATTATTTCAGTTAATCGGAACACTACTATTGATCAGTAACTTGAACTCTAGTGAAACTTGAGTGCAAGTCAAAAGCAATGTGATGGGGTTGTTTTGGCCTAGTTTCTGATCAATCTTGACCCAAGGTGTCCGATGTAGTCTACAGAAACCAGTTCCAAAGTCTTGCAAATCATAGACTAAGATAACTTCTTTGAGAGGCATTTTAGAAGTTGTATAGATGAAGGAAAACCAAGTTCTATGGATAGTCAACTTCTTTAATTGCAATGAGTGCGACATTTCTGTGTAGGTACTAACACCGTTATCAAGCATGTGGAATGGTGTTAGTACCTACTCCAAAACGTCACACTCATTGCAATTAAAGAAGTTGACTATCCATAGAACTTGGTTTTCCTTCATAGACTGAGATACATTGAACACGTTGGCTCCTGCCGAGTTCCACCAGTTTGAAACATGCCAGAAACGTGTCAGGTGTTTATCAGGGAGAAGGTGACTATGTTACTTTGTTTATGAATGAAAATAGTCTTTTCTGTTGGTTCAGAGCATCTTGATGACCTTTACATTAAAGCAAGAGCAGAGAAATTACATGTCACTGTAGATAAAGAAAATTATCTTTGCTAGTGGCTTAGAATTTTGATGACCTTTCTCTGATGTGTCCAAATCAAGTGTCCCCTTATCCAGGTGCATTGAGGTACTGAATGGTTTTGGGTGTGTTGAGGTTTTGGTTTGAAACAGTTCCACCCAGGCAGTCAGATTTCAAATCATAATCTTACTATTGCCTTGAGGGTATATATGATTCGAGTGCACATCATTGATATGAACATTTATGTGTAATACAGCCAATGAATGACATTGATCATGTTCATTGTTTCAGACTGGGATTCTGACAACGGTGGCTACACAACTTACATAGCTAAGGGAGAAGATGAAGAGGTAGGACTTGATGCAGTCAGAACATGATACTTAGTACAGTACAAGCTTCAGTCTGTTAATGTTAAGATCATGTGTAGCCCAAACATAGTGATTTACTCTAAAATAGTCATAGGTGGCAAAGTGGTGTAAATGCTGATGCTTGGACACAGAGTGGGTTTGAATCCCTGATTTATCCTGGTTGTGGTCCTCAGTTTGTCTGTCACATACCAACTCTGTTGTTAACATCTATACCCTCTGCTATATTCCTGCCTTCTGTTGACGCACTATAATATACTGCACAAAGCAATGTGAAATATCAATGGATAAATGCTATTTAAGAGAAGACACAAATCTGAGAATTCTGTCTATTGGACATCCTCGATAATCTCCAGGGTATACATTTCAATGAATCTCCACTTGTACCCTGGATGCATCTATGGCTTGGCCCTATAATTTTATTACCTCCCTTTGCTGGCTTTATATCCAGTCAGGTGTCTATGCTGGGAAGTTGAGCGGTACCAATCACAAGGCTTCTATCATAACCCACTTTCGCTTCTTTATCTAACCGATAAAACTTGGCAACACAATTGTTGTTGTAGAGGTACTCTGAAAGAGGTAGAAGTTCTTGCATATATTTTTTGAAGGTTTCAGATTTGACAATTTGTCTGAATGATTTTGAGTCGCAAACCTTCACGGCTGCGGCTGCTGTCTTTGTTGACACTGGCAAGCTTGGTTGTAATGGCTTATCTGATTGGCTACTGTGGGAAAGCGGACCCAGCAAAATAGTTAACAAAATTATCAGGCTGAGCCGTAGATCCATCCAGGGTACGAGTGGAAATTTATCGGAATGTATACCCTGGAGATTATCGAGGATGTCTTTTAGATGGTTGATATTATTTCTGCCCTTGTGTCTTGATTAGTGTCAAAGTTACATTGTTGATTACAAGATTAGGAATCTATAAATGAAAACTATTATTTGTCCATATTTATAAGGGGCGATGGGCTAGCCTAGTGGTTAAAGTATTTGCTCTTCACGCCAAAGACCTGGGTTCGATTCCCTACATGGGTACAATGTGTGAAACCCATTTCTGCTGTCCCCCACCGTGACAATGTTAGAATATTGCTAAAAGCAGCATGAAACTGTACTCACTCATTCACTCTACTTATAGGTATATATGCATGGTGAAAATTCACATGCATTTATAAAACTGTCCAGTATTTTATGCTTTCAGCTGCTGACTGTGTGCCCGTCGGACAACTCACTGGCACTTGTGTACAGAGACAAGGAAACTCTCCGATTTGTGAAACAAGTCAACCATACCATCAACAGGACATCCGACACCAAGTTTTTCGACATTGCTACTGTGTACTACGAATGAGATGAACAGAGACAGAATATGTTCGCGATCTTGTTGCAGGAACCCACGCCATAAAAAATTACCAGTTCACCATGGGCATATGTACGATTTGAATTGTGGATTTAAATATAATTATTTGAAAAATATGAAACTGGCATTCAGAAATATGTACATTTCTTTTGTACACATTATGTTTTTGTGACACAAGAGATATGTTAACTTAATGGTATTTTAGTCTTTTGGATCAGTCAACTCGCCAACAGAACAGTTAACAAATACATATGTATTTTATTTTTGCATGCATTTATTTAAGTGATATTAATCATATACATTTTGATATGACAATAAATCTACAAAATGACACTGTAAATGCATGCGCATGCCTGAAAATCTTTAAACATACAAGTTTGATTTTATAATGTATGTGTGTGGTCCATATTATTCATTAACTGGGGCGGAGGGGAAGCCCAGTGGTTAAAGCGTCTGCTGAAGACCCTGGTTCAATTCCCCACATGGGTACAATGCATGAAGCTCATTCCCCCAACCGTGATATTGCTCGAATATTGCTAAAAGCAGCGTAAAACTCACTCATACACACATATACATTGACTCTCTTTATATCCTTTGTATGGTATAGCAGAGTCACTGAAGCCTACTTATAAAATTACCACACCTGCATGCAAGCACGCACGCATGCACTCACGCACGCACACATACACAATTAGACAAAAGGTAATCGTTTTTTCATGTGAACCATACTAATTTGTTTCCGTTTTGTGAACTTGTTTCGTATCTCATTAATGTACATGGATTTTAACAGTATTTCCAGTCCTTCACAGATTACATGTATGTAGTAGTTCTATTAAGTCAATAAAACAGAAACAGAAGATTTTTAGGGCATCAGAGCACCACTTTAAATTCTTTCTCAGTCATCGTTAATGCTAGCTGAAGTATGTTTAACAATATCCCACATCATGTTATATATATAAAGACTACACTGAGTTCAGTGTGTCCCCAGTTGTGTTTGTTGGTAATCTTTGTTGGAAAGAAAAAACGTCTCTCATCACTTTTGTTGCTAACCTCCCCTCTTCTTTTTTGAGTAAATTGTGCCTGAGAAACATATATTCCTACTCAAACAGCAGATAACTTATATTATCATCCATTTCTTGCCATAAAAATAAAGCCAGAGGCTGAGTTGGTTCCTTTTCTTATAGTAAAAACCCAGCACAAAACACAATGTAAGCCTTCTTCGATCAGGGTGTCTGTTGAACATAACTTACCGAGCATTTTGTACAATTCAATAATTGTAAAGGATACTGGAATGTTATGTCCTGTTAAAAATCTAGTGGACAAGATTTTACTGAATGATATACTTTTGTTTAATTGACTTGAAGTGAAGCCAAACTGTTTCCGTTCCATTCCAGCATCAGATACTATTTGTATGACACTTCCAAACAATCAATCTTTCATTCCAGCCCAGATAATATTTGTATGACTTCCAAACAATCAATCTCATTCAGCCCTTAACTTGACATGCAGAATACCTTAGCAAAATCTGAGTAGTATAAAGGAAGAAATACTACATGATTACACAACACTATTAAAAGAAATTGTTATCCTTAAAAAGTGTCATGTATTCAAGTTCTTACAACTTCTATGAAGAACTCACTGGGTAAATATATTTTGATCAAAACACAACAAAAAACTGTAAAATACACTTTCTTTATTAGCGGTGTCAACCTTTGACATAAAGAAATGGGAAAAGACTGTAGGCCATGAGTGTCTAATGATTAAGTTATTGTGGCCTTCAAGAAGAATAGTGTATATCCATGTATTTGTATTGTCAACCCTGTAAGTATCAGTATTCAAGATTGGTTGTAATTTTACATGCAATTAAATGTACTGTACTTTTATAATCATTAATTAAAAATGTTCAAAACTTTTCATCTGTTTCTTGTGCGATGTGAGTGAGTGAGTTTAGTTTTACGCCGCACTCCGCAATATCCCAGCTATATGGCGGCAGTCTGTAAATAATCGAGTCTGGACCAGACAATCCAGTGATCATTGTGTGATGTACTTTATATCATGGTTGTAGGTTAAACAGATTCTGTTTCTTAACTTCATGTAACCTTGGACCCTAATATGAACTCTTTGGGCAGGCTCTTGACCTGGACTGTGAAAAACACAGCCGGATTGATCCTGAAAACTTTTGCCACATCAGTTGCAGCTGTCTTTTTATGCTGTGAATCACTTCCAACAGAGTGTCTTCCATTTGTTTGTAGTGTTTAATTATTGTCTGCTGATTTCGAAATTCATTGTTACAAAAAACAAACAAATGCCACACCAGTTTACTATTAACAGGGGCGGTGGGGTAGCCTAGTGGGTAAAGCGTTGGCTCGTCACGCCGAAGACCCGGGTTCGATTCCCCACTTGGTACAATGTGTGAAGCCCATTTCTGGTGTCCCCCGCCATGATATTGCTGGAATATTGCTAAAAGCGGCATAAAACCAAACTCACTCACTACTATTAACATTTCTCCACTAGTTAGATTGTACTGCTGGTATACCATCAACGTTGATGATCGTACATTGGTGCCCGGTCATCTAAGATATGAATGAATGAATGAATGATAATTGATTTGTATAGCGCCTGGTTTCCAGATTGGACATGACTGCTCAACGGTGCTTGTTGAAGTGAGCGGAAAAAAGATATGTCTTCAGATGAGTTAGAAAAGAGTCTTTTGTTTGACAGTTTCTGATTTCCAGTGGTAGAGCATTCCACAGTTTTAGAGCTGCAAAGCATAGACCCACTTCGCCCATCTTTGTTTTAGTTTTAGGAACATGAAGTAGTTTATCATCGGCTGATCTTAAAGCTCTTGTGGGTTGGTAGTGATGTAATACAGGTTGGGGAGTTTTCATCATTTGGTGCTGAATATGTGATAGAAAGTGTCTTGAAAGTGATGCTGTGCTCTACGGGTAGCCAGTGGAGTGATTTCAGGACAAGGGAGATAATGTCAGTTCTCTTGCTACCAGTCAGCATCCTCGCACTGTTCTGCACTTGTTGCAGTAGCTTGATGTTTGTGGCAGTAGTCCCATTGAGGAGGGCATTTCCATAGTCAAGACGTGATGTGACACAGGCTTGTATAACTGTCCTCAGACTGTCATTGTCAAGGTATTTCTTGATCTTGCTGATCTTAAATAGCTGGAAGAAGGCAGACTTGACATGGTTTTTCATCATGTTTCTGTCGAACTTGACTCCCAGATTTCACACGTCATTGCTTGGCTTGATATGACTGCCACTAGTCTCAAGAGTTACATCTGGGATTTTGGACTGTAATTTTCATGAATAGTCATGAATTCTGTTTTGGAACTGTTGAATTTGAGTGCATTTTCTGTCATCCACTGTTGAATATCATTGATACAATGTTCAAGCTGTAACTTGGAAGCAACTACTTGGGTCGGTTTTGTTCCTATATACAACTGGTTGTCGTCTGCGTATCCATGGAAGTTGACATTGTGCTGTCGGATGATATTTCTATAGGCAGTATGTAAATGTTAAAAAGGAGAGCACCAAGGACAGAGCCTTGTGGGACACCACAGCGCAGCTCACATTCTTGTGATCTGGATCCATCAATTTGAACTTGAAGGTATCTGTCAGTGAGGTACGATCTGAACCACTGAAGTGCAGAGCCGCCAGTACCAACTGTTTGTTCCAATCTCTGAAGCAATATGTCATGGTCTTGCAGAGAGGTCTAGCAGAACTAAGAGAACTGTTTCCTGATTGTCCAGTGAATGCATGATGTCATTTTGGACAATAGTGCAGTCTCGGTACTGTGTTTCCTCTTATAGACAGACTGGAATCTTCTCCAAGGCTGTTATGATTAAGATGCTCCCTGAGACGTATGGATACAATTCTCTCCAAAACTTTAGCAAGAAATGGGAGATTGGATACCAGTGTAGCAGCCCAGAATAACCCCCCCCACCAGATTATACCACGGGGTAAACTATAGGCTAGCCCAGTTTATACCCCGGGGGTATATTCTGGACCAAGCCAAAGTATACCCCTCCAGCCCAGACTATACCCCTTAAAATTATGTTGACAATTCACTCAATATGAGTGTGTGACTCGGGCAATGGTCTTGGTGTCATTTAAAGGAATTTGTAGGTGCATTTCATTTACATTACTGCATAATACAAAATTTATTAAGTATTTGTTGAGTGCCTCTCTGCAATATGATACTTTCGACTTTGCGTAACCTAGCCATGCTGATATATCACGGTTAATTTAGTGTGTAGTTAGTTATTTGCTTTATTTAGCATCGCACACACAACTCAGGTATTTCGGCAACAGGGTAGTACAACATGAACAGATTAACTATACCATTATGGAGGTGGGTGTTGTCTTAATTAATACCCTACTCCACTGTCTAACAACTGGCTGTCTAACTAATGGGAGATAACCGGTGTGAGAAGGGGCTGGTGTGAAAGCCCCAGTGATTCGAAGCAACGAAAAAGACTCAGAGATGAACTGGAGTCAGGCGACCATACAGACCTTACTACCAAACAAATCAAGTCAACCCGTTTGTTCAACCCTATCCCCAAAATGCTCGAGAAGGAATTTGGCTGCTGCATTAGGCCTGAACTCTTCAAAGGACATTTATTACGGAAGATCAACAGACTTGACAGCACCCCGCGGACATACAGAACCAAAGGCTGACAGCAACTGCTACTTCCGCTGCATCAGTTACAGCCTGACAGGATCCGAAGACAGTCACAGCACTATCCGAGATCGAGTGGTTCAGCATATGAACAATGACATTAATGATGAACTAAAACATTTCCTGAACCAAAATGTCAATGAGTACATCACTAACTGGCTAGCCCAGTTTAACCCTGGGTATAGTCTGGGACAGGGGTATACTCTGGCCTGTTACACCGGGCGAAAATTGTTCAGCAGTGTTTCATCTAATGTCACTTTTTTTATGAGAGGAGTAACAAGTGCTCTTTTGAAGGATGAAGGAACGGTTCCTGAGTTGAGAGAACAGTTTACGATGTCGGCAATAGGACCAACCAAGGGATCCCCCCAGTTCTTCAGCACAGATGTTGGTAACACGTCCAAGGCGCTGGTTTTACTTGCTGCCTTCACAACGAGACTGTCGATCTCTGACTGTTTCAGGTCTGAAGACTTCCAGTGTTTGACCTGGGAACTGTGGATCACACTGTAGCGGCGTTACGCTTGGTTCACCAGCAGATGGAGCAGAACAGATGTCTTCAACTTTCTTCAGAAAGAAGGCAGCAAAGTCATTTGCTTTTTCATCATTGACACTGGATGACTGGATGCTAACTTTTCCTCTTGGCTTTATCAAAGATTGAGTTACAGAAAATAGTCTTTTTGTACTGGGTTTATTTTCAGTAATAACTGTGATAAGATGTGGCATATCTTATGCCAGAAATGTGGTCGTGGGTTCGAATCCCAGTTTTCCCAGATTATGTTTCCAGGTTGTCAGCACCCTATCCATGCAGTGGTTCCATCCAAAGTAGTCAACGTTGATAATGGTACATTGGTGCCCGGTCATCTAAGATGTGGCATATTTTATGCCAGAAACCTGTCATCATGGGTTCGAATCCCATTTTCCCCCAGATCATAATGTTTGTCAGCACCCTATCCACCAAAGCAGTCATCGTCTTTGACATCATCTCTCTCTGCTGTGCTCTGTCATCAAACTGACATGCTGTTAAACCCAAACCAGTCACTCAGAATGGTCTGTGCTTGGAGGGTTCTGATTTCCCACATGGGTACAATGTGTGAAGCCCATTGCTGGTGTCCCCCGCCGTGATATTGCTGGAATATTGCTAAAAGCGGCGTAAAACTAAACTCAGTCAGTCAGTCTGTGCCTGGATGAAAAGAAAAAAGAAATCACCAACCAGTAATTAGAACTTTATTTTTAGATCGTAGTGTTTATAAAAAATAGAAAGTGAAAAAACATCAACAAATGTAAACATTACCCTCCGACAAACAAGAACAACAAGAAGACAAAGTCATCAATATCCCCCGCAATGGCAAAATACTCTTCATGATTATGTCTATGAGTTATGATTATGTCAAATATTTAGGTGTGTATATGGAAAAGTGGAAGGAGAGTATTGAAAGGTTTTTAAAGTTCTGCTCCCAAAAGCAGCACTATCACCAATTTCAGGCTAAGTCAAACTTGTTGCCATGGAAACGCCATAAATATTTTATTCAGAATTCCAAAACTACCAAAAGGCACAAGTACACCACCAGACCAATCTATGTGCCAAGTTTGGTAAAGAAATAGTGAACAGTTTTAGAGTTCTGCTCCGGAAAAAAATACCACCAATTTCAGGCTGTCAAACTTGTTGCCATAGAAACGCCAGAAATATTTTATTCAGAATTCCAAAACTACCAAAAGGCACAAGTACACCACCAGACCAATCTATGTGCCAATTTTGGTGAAGAAATAGTGATTAGTTTTAGAGTTCAGCTCCGGAAAAGAGCACTACTACAATTTCAGGCTAAGTCGAACTTGTTGCCATGGAAACGCCAAAAATATTTAATTCAGAATTCCAAAACTACCAAAAGGCACCAGTGCACCACCAGATCCATGTATGTGCCAAGTTTGGTGAAGAAATATTTAACGGTTTTAGAGTTCTGCTCCGGAAAAGACAAATGTGCACGGACGGACGGACGGACGCCGCACGCACGGACGGAGTCCATTTTAATACCCCTCGCAAAACGCGTTGCGGGGGATAACAATACATGTAGCAGACAATTTGACTGGCCTCTCTTTATGTTTACTTTTGGTTTTCAGATATTTGCTAAAGAAATACTCCTCGTAGGTTTAAAATAGTTTAGCATATTCTGTAGTCTTTGCCATGTCACTTTAGTGGTGTTAGGAACTTATGTTAATATGTGACAGTAAATGATTGAACTACCAGTAAACAGTGTTATGGTTTGAACAGATGTTTGTAAATGATCTTATCCTGTGAAACATGCATTCATTATATATATTGCTAGGAAAGGTTTGCAAAGTCAATATTTTTGTCCTAATTTCACTTTTTTTTTTGTGTAGTCCATAAACCAAGTATAAAATACGAGGCTTCGGCCTTGAGCGAGACTACCACTCAAGACACTACTGCTTGAAACCATCTTTAGTAAACATAAGGCCTCAGTTGTGAGGGTTTCAAATGTGTTTTGTCTCTTATACCCCCTCCTTCAACTAAGAGACAGAAAAAGACATAATTTTTTTTAGATTGTTGTTTAAACCCACACAAATCGTAATAGTGCCATTTGAATATAATATGTGATGACATGGAAAATACGATTTGTTGACGACGCACGTTTTCGATTATTTTTTTCCAGAAATGTCGTCGCGCTGATAATTGCCTATACAAATATATGAATTTGAAGTCAGATAATTATGAGATATTGGATATACGAATATTGAAATCGGTTTGCGCTAATTTAACGATTTATTCAGGTTCCTTATATGAAACGCATTCCACTGTCAATCAAGTAATTCAGGTAAATTCAGGAAAATTTACATTATTTATGACTATGTTTGAAATTATCAGGATATTTTTGGATAATAATGTTCATTTTTCTATCTAGTATTAATGTGCCCAATATTTTTTGTCGTTGTCCCTTTTTTAATGACACACCGACTGTTAGAAATCACCCACCCTCTTTACAACGCCTTATGCTGAAATTAATTCAGCAGGCTAGAGGTTAAAGCCACACTAACCAATGTTCCAGCTATACAAAGGTTAAATATTTGAGTCTGGACTAGACAATCCAGTGATTCACATCATTTGTATCGATCTATGCATATGTGATACGATCACATGAATCAGCCAAGGAAGCAAGCCTGACGATCCAATCCTGTTAGTCGCCTTTTACAACAAGCATGCAGCAAGGCCAGAACAGTTTTGTCCCCAGCACTATTGCTTGTCATAAGAGATGAACAAGTTGGTTAATGGGTTGAGATTAGGCTGGGGTTGTTGATCGTTGTATGGAACAATGTTCATGATGTCGACCATTAGTTTGTCTGACCCAGGTCATGGAGATATTGCCAACAACCAAAATCCAAAAGAAACCTGAGAGCAACAAGGTACTCAGTCTTCTCACACATCAAATTAATCAGATATAATTTGTAGGATGAAAGAATATACTGGACACAGGTAAAGTCAAACATAAAACAGAGACCCTCATTGACACAGTTAATAATATCTGGGTTTAGTCATTTTCCCCAAAATCATAAGTAATTATTATCATGGCTGACTAGTATAATTATTAAAAGATAAAACATTTGCATTGCATTTCCCTAAAATGGTACTTTTTGTGTTATGACTTCCTTGCAAAATACTCCACAAAATTCAAGGTAGGATACCAATCCTTTTTTAAGTGAGTGAGCGAGCGAATATTGATTAAAATGGCATCATTAATCATGACGCTATTGCAACCAAGGCCCCTGTTGCCCCTGAAAATGTCGTTATTGTTTTAAAGAATATGTTCTATTATTCCATGTGTCATCGTTTTAAACAAATCATATTTATATTTAATACTTAAGTTTCAACATTCTTTTCGTATCGTCATCCTTATCATCTGTAACCTTTATCCAGAAGTTACCAATCCACTTTTCTCCTGACAAGACTGCACAGCCGCCATGTATACCAAAGTCATCCTGTTCCCCTAACCACTGATTGTCTTCCTTCACAAAATGGTTGTACCACATGACTGCCTTGCCCTTGCCAGGTTTGACCTTCAGACGTGCGTCTGCACAACGACGGTAGAGATTCACTTGATTGCTCTCCCTCAATACCTGTGAGACATGAAGCCAATTACATGTATCATCTTTTAGTTCAAATGTTTGGGTTTGGGCAGCTAATAGGTCCTCAAGTTTTCCATCTGACAAAATACTATGTTTCAGAAGATTAACAATTCCAGTAAAAAATGGGTTTTTTTCAGTGTCACAATTAAGCAGCCCAATGTAAATGTGGTCGCTTTGAAGTTAATTGTCATGCCAATTTCAGAACCATGTAGTACTTTGAGATCACTAGGACATCACACTTAGATGCCAGTAGTTGAACTTGGATTGCCTCTGTGCCCACTGGTATTTAATGTTGAGGGTCAACGTAGTACTCAGTGTCATAGCCTGAAGGGGCGGTGGGGTAGCCTAGTGGTTAATGCGTTCGCTCGTCACGCCGATGGCCCGGGTTCGATTCCCCACATGGGTACAACTTGTGAAGCCCATTTCTGGTGTCCCCCGCCGGATATCACTGGAATATTGCTCAAAACAGCGTAAAACCATACTCAGCCAGCCAGTCATAGCCTGAAAAATGGGTTTGTTTCTACGAGATGGATCAATTGTTAGTCACTGCACATTTCATCCTCAGGTCTAGATCTAGATCAGGTGCAAGTGGCCAATAAATAATTTCAAGGTCACACTAAAGGAAATCTTCTCAGTGTATGGTGTATTTGGTGGTTGAAGTTTGCCAATGTCTCATAACTTTACAAATGACTTTTTATATTTGATACATCAATGGAAGTTTATCTACTCACATCATCGTGAACGGTTTCATTGTCAGCCACAAGAAAGGCTGTTTCCCCACCTTTCTCCACGTCATTGAGGTAAAACAGAACCGTCATGTACCTGAAACAACATGTTTGTAACAGATAATTTCAGATCTAAGTCACTCCTAATGACTTGTCTTATACTTCTTTTAATGAGAAGGGGCCAGGGACAGTATTTAGAGATGAAGATGTTTTTCGGTCTCTTGTTCAAGATGTACAGTTAATTTCTTTGAAGCATTTTTGTCCAGGAAATCAATCATACCCAGCAAATTGTTTGTGTTGCAGGATGATCTTGCTATAAGACCTTATACCACATTGTGTACAAAGGGCAGAGGCCCCTATCACATTCAACAGGACATAGGAAGATTGCCTAAACAAGGCCTCCTCAGTAATGGTGACATTTTGCAAATATGATACCTGGTAAACATTATCAATTTTACAATGTTACAGGACTTTTGACTATCCTTGAAGGTCCTTCTTTGCACAGTGTGTTTTCATTGAGGTGATCATGGGTATCTCGAACCCATCACAGCTTGTGTACCAAGATATCTCATACTATTGTACAGTTTCTGAGTTCATGTATTCAACAGCAAATAAAAAAAAAAAAAAAAAAAAATTGTTTGTGTTGACAAACCTACAAACATGGCCATGCTATATGAAAAGAAATGTTGTTTTATCGAATAATATGAAAATTTGAGTGGTATATATGAGATACTGGATTCACTTCAACAGTTGTCTAACCTGCATATCCGACACTTCCGTCTATCAAACCGCTTACAGCACGGCACAGTGGAGCTCAGTTTTGATGAGTCATGATGGGCATTGTAGTGACCTTTGACATCATACTGAACAACCTGCACAGAAACAGATGTCTTCATTCATCAACAGCACCTAGGGCGAGTACTCAGGTTCTGGAGTGTGGCTACTGACTGGTACCCAGGTGCCAACAGGACTACCCAGACCCATGGCCAGTCATATGAAATATGGTTTGTTTGTTGTTTATCGCCACTCTCAGCAATAATCCAGCTATATTGTGGTGGTCCTGACCAGACAATCCAGTGATCAACAGCATGAGCATCCATTAACAACTTCCAGACTGCTGTTATACATGCATAGTTGGAATATTACCCCCTGTGGTGTTGGACAACAAACAGACTACTACTGCAAACACCAGTACAACTACTATTTAAATGTATGCTATGACCCCAGCTTTAACTCGACAGATACGAGCACTGCAAGTACTACACCACAGAGTAGGAAATAATATTTTGTTCACATTTCAGATCACATATATAATGTGCCAAAATTCACACCCTAAAGTGTTTCATTTTTTACCATGGTCAATGGATCGATGCAAACTCAAATGTCATTCACAGCTCGTTGGGGAAGGTGGAAACATATTCAGCAACCATCGTCCAAACCAAATAACGTCACTAGAGCGAAAGATTTCAATGCAGTATCACCCATGGTTGGCTAGTTCCACCCGATGTTCGCAGGTTTCATCTCGTCACACACCACATTGGCGGTTTTAACTCACTCACTGTTGTGAACACAGTAAAGTTTTTGCATGACACAAATATATATACAATGTGTACATATCAAACATTCTGTTTTCGGGTGTGAGGACCTATAAACGAACTTCGGAGGACCAAAAGGAGGCCATCAGCTCCATATTGAATGGAACAGAAGATCCGACTGTGGATGTGTCAGACGTTCATGACACAACTACACAGGAGACTGCTCTCTCCAAACTATTCTGGCGCAATTATCGCTACGAACTGTGTCATTCATGTTCTGGTGAAAAAGTAATAAACAGTAGACCTTCTCATCCTTTTTGTCATTTTGACAGGTAATTCTTGAATATTTCTCGAGACGGAAGTCGAGAGAAATATTCAAGAATTGCCGATGTCGTTTTTTCACGAGAGAGAATATGGATAACCGAGGCGAAGCCGAGGTTTTCCATAATCGCGCCAGTAAACATTGGTATTGTAAGACTCTTGAATGATATGATAATCCCCAAGGGGGATATTTGAAAACACCCGCTAATGACGTCATAAGAGGTTGATATCAGGATGAACCAATGCAAAGTGAATAGGAATCCCTAGGTTTACCCAATGACCTAAGGGCAAATAGGCAGGGTTGTCTCTCTTTGATTTACCTGAAAGTCACTCATACGGACAAGTTCTACAGGAAGCTCTGTCACCATGGAGACTCTGAAGATAAAAAAAAATGGAAACAGAAGTTTAGTACAAATTTGAACAGTATTTTTAGGTGTAACATGACATGTCCGCCTAATGTGACCCCGGTCTTGGACAGTGACCACTAATATTTTGCTGACAACCATGAAGCATAATCACACCAAATCTGGGATTCGAACCCATGATCATAATGATTATAATAAACAATGGCAAAGCAACAATTTTGAAAAGTCTCATCTCCCTTACCTTCTACACAGAGGTATTTCCAAATTATTTCTTTTAATTAAGAGAATTTGATACACATACAAGCTGTAGGCCATTATGGGGTAACTTGAATTACAAAACTATATAGTAAAGATTATATAATGTGTAAGTAAGTGAATCCCTAAACCTGAGACAAAAAGCATATACCTCTCTTGGACTGCTTTGAATACTGTGTCCGATGATTTGTCTGGATAGAGCCAAACTTGGTTGCTGAAGCGAGAGTGTTTTTCAGGTTGTTTCTTGACAAAATCTGACAAATAGTTCTTAAAACCATTTGGGGTCAAACCCTCCATCTCATCTGGTGTGATCAGACCTAGAATAGAGAGAGAGTGAGGGAGTGAGTTTGATTTTCACAGTTACATCTCACTGTGTCGGCTTAATGTTGGAGGAGTACCCACAGAACTGGGAGTAACACCCACAGTACATCAGGTTGCGGATCTTTACGAGGACAGGTGTGATGCTGACAATTCTAGAAACATGGTCAGGCTGAGCCAGGATTCAAACCACAAATATAGATTTCTAGCAAAGGGATCTAACTCAATGAACTCCAGCACAATCAATTGTAACACTTCAGGAATGAGTTCCTTGCTATTAATAAAAACATTTTACAGTCATTAAAAGTGAGTGAGTGAGTTTAGTTTTACACCGCACTCAGCAATGTTCCAGCTATATGGCGACGGTCTGTAAATAATCGAGTATGGACCAGACAATCCAGTGATCAACAGCATGAGCATCGATCTGCGCAACTGGGAACCGATGACATGTATCAACCTAGCCAGCGAGCCTGACCACCCGATCCCGTTAGTCGCCTCTTACGACAAGCACGGGTTACTGAAGGTTCATTCTAACGCTGACCTTCAAGGGTCACAGTCATTAAGAAGGCAGTTTGAATATTTTGTAAGATGACAATTACAATACATTTATATGAATGTTAGTAAATGTGTGTTACCACTGTCATGTATACCATGACATACCATTTACACCCAGACAAAAAGGTTCGGTATGAAATGCAATTTAAGGGAAACAGCTCGGTTGGCTGTAAACAGCAGGACATAGACAGTTTCCTCTTGTCTGTATGTTTCTGGTCTATAATAACCTATTTCAATCTCAGACATGTCATAACAAATGATTCAGGGTTGAAATTAACTGACTGACTGACTGACTGAGTTTGGTTTTACACCGCTTTTAGCAATATTCCAGCAACATCACGGCGGGGGACACCAGAAATGGGCTTCACACATTGTACCCATGTCTTCGGGTTGAAATTAACATTCAAAAAGAAAGAGCATCAACTTATGAAATAAACACATTATATAGCGATATATTCTGTCTCACAGTCTCTGAACCACTTTAATCTTTATTACTGCCAAACCCTATCTCCAGTGCAAAAGCCATAAATGAAGCAAGTCAAGTTTCAGCAGGTTATGGAATATCTGGGGTGCTTCATGAATTTAAATGTAGTTATTTGTTTCTATCAAAGTTATATATTTTCAGAGACTACTTGCTACCTTACTGTATTGTATATCTCTAGTCACAACTTACCGTCACCATTACGATCCAGTTTGGTATCAGCATAACTGAGGATTTAAACAGAAATGACAAAATTGTCAAAGGTGGACAAAAATAAATACTTATACACAGCCAATGCAAACACCTATCAACAGAACCTTTTAAAATGCTTGGAGAGACACATGTCATGTTTTCAGTCACTAGACTCACAAGTGTTTCTTATAGTATGACTCCTAAGTTAATACCTGCATGTGAGTGAGTGAGTGAGTGGGTGGGTGAGTGGCAGGGGAAGGTTCCCTGGGAGCGTGGAAATAGTCTCAAAATTGAAACATACAACTTTACAAAGCACTCTATCAGCTTGTTATTACAACTTAATCCCCCTTGTTTATTAGCTTCGTCACCTCTCATTTGTTGTTCATAGTCTCCCACTGGCCTCTCATAATTATGTACCAGTTGTTATACAATTACATGTTGTTGTTAATGTTAATCTGCTGTTGTCAAAACATACTGTGTATATATACCCTTCATCATCTGGTTGTATTCACTTTTAGCTTGATAGCTCTGTAAGGATCTACATCGAAACGTCACTCTATGCAATAAATAAGAAGTTGTCATCCATAAAGTTGTATGTTTCATTTTTTAGTCACCAACTTCTAGAATGCCCATCAAACAATTGGAAATAGTCTGCCAACCAGCATGACAGAAACACATGAATGTAAAAAATCATGTATATGACTCATCCAGTGGGAAGGAATAAAACAATAACAACGAGTGAGTGAGTGAGTTGGGTTTTGTGCCCCTTTTAGCCATATTCCAGCAATGTTATGGTGGGGGACACCAGAAATGGGCTTCATGCATTTTACCCATGCTGGGAATCAATCCGTAGTCTGCAGTATGATGAGTGAGCACTTTAACCATTACGCTAACACAATGCAGGCACATGGAGATACAGAAGACAGACATACACACTTACAGCTGTAATACGTCTTCATTGTCAGGATATATGTCAAAACCATTCTCAATTGTTAGCCGCATCTGAAATAAATGTGACAATTCAATTATTATTTCTCAAATTTACAAACAATGTTTAACTTAATAAACTTGTTTTGCACCCATGATGAGCTGTTCAATCGGTGACCACAAATTCAACTCATTTTGACTGGTTTTAAACAAATTTTGGCATCAAAGGGACTTTTTATTAAATAAAATACAACCATAACTGGCATATTGGCTAGTATGTTGGATTTAATGCCTCTTTGAAGAGTAGTTTATGTCATAAGTACTACAGATACCTAACAAAGTTCTATGCAAAGGTTGAAAACTTTTATGTGCTATTGCAAATGTTGACATAACAGCCATTTACCAATGTTTCTGATGTGGAAACAAATATATTCATTTTATTTATTACCACATATTGGTTTATTTACTGTTCACTTCAATACTGATACTTGATAGAGAAGGCCAGATAAATTAAATTATTGTTTTGGAGATTCATCTGTCATGTTGTAAACATTTTTTAATAAATCTAAAATGACAAATAATTCACCTTAAATGTACTGTTTCATTACATCTATGTTCTCTCCAACTTTGTACTGTGAAATTCTGGATTTTAGTTACAGGTACAAAGAGGGAATATTTTTAACTGACTTCTCAATATTGTTTAAAAGATATATATAAAAATGGAAAAATATCTGGATTTACTCATCTTTATAGCAATAACATTGCATAAAACTCTTAAGAAACATGTTGTATGATCCCCAGGGTGTTGAGATTGAAAAATATGATGTTCCGTTGAGATTGACATCCTATCACCGAGGTAAAAACAAAGCACCTTTGAGCAGCTGAGCTGGATATTGGCTCTATACAAATATCATATAATATATAAAAATACAATATATGTATATTAAGAACATACTTCCACAATACAGTCAAAAAGAGATTTAACTGCTAGTTGAAAAATACACACAATGTACCAGTGTACAACTCATTCAAATTTAATTGTTTATCACTCTTGTGTCAAATTTGATTTCACTTGTTTCTATGCAGTCCCTTGATACTCCCCCGTGACATTTATGCAAATTTAAAACAGAAAACACATACCTCATCATGTGTTTCAATTAATAGATATGTTCCAATTTTTAATCCTATCCCATTTTATTGCAAAACAAATGAAAACTATTTTAGATTTGATAGTGAACAATACTCAATTAATTTAAGTTTTGTTCATATCAATAAGTTATCAGAAGAATAAATCAAGTACATATGTTAAATTCAAAAGTTTGAAACATTGTAATTACCTCATCTACTGTTAACTTCTTGTCCCCATTGCTGTCCAGGATCTGGAACTGTGGGGGTGCACTTCCACCCCCTGTGGTGGTCTGGCTGTTCTCCAGACCCTCAGTCTTGGCCAAGGACACAAAATGGTCACATTCCTCCGCCGTCAAGAAGTCCGGAATTTCTAGTAAACAATACTACATGTCTTAAGACTCTGTTCCCTCAACATTTATGCAACTCATGAAACATTTGCTTTCATAATTTAGGCTCTAAGTTTTTTTTAATTTGAATTTGATTTTAATTAAACCAATGGATTAATCTTGACTGGCCTACATTTTAACACATCTACATAATCTACTGTAAAACTGTTTTCATAGGTTGAAAGAAGCCACTTTTAGATAGAAATATGCTAAATGAAAAAAGTAGAAACACACCACCTCACTGTTATGCTAAATATATATACAGGTACATGAAAACTAACTATGCACTATGTCAAATGTGAAGTCAAATGTGTCTAATCAACTGACAAGTACACTATGCAATAGAAGTTAAAGAACATATATTTTCTTGCATTCTCTTCCCACAGGGGCTACTTGTCATTTCTTCCTACGAACCTCTGTTCTAATACGGCCCTTTTATGGTGTGAGTGTTCAGGATTCGTGATTGGTTGCAATCAGATTTAGTTGTGCAATCAGCAAGGTTGTTTCAAAAGTGATCATTCGCAAGGCCTCAGTTATTTCCATATGCTTCGGGAAAACTAGAACCTCTTTCCCTGCGCGATGCGCAAACGTTTCTTATAGACAGAACTCAGTCATGTAAATTGCGGATCAATGGCGTCTCCATCGCCCTCGTTGACAACGGACAAGCTAGCCATTAAATGTCTTGGGTGTCACATCAACCCAAGTTCCTGGCAGAGGATAGATATTTTTTGACCCAACATTTGCTTGTATTAGTCAAGTTGATGTAACACGTGTTCTGATTGGACAGAAAGGAGGGAGATAATTCGTGTCGGATTTTTTGCCGCTAGGGGATTTTACGAGAACCGGGAAATATGACCGTATTAGAACAGAGGTTTGTAGGAAGAAATGACAAGTAACCTCTGTGGGAAGAGAATGATTTTCTTGTTACCCTTAAGATAAATTTGTCGAATTCTGATTGGTCAATAGTCAAGGCATACCAAACCATGTTGGCGGATTTGCCAGGGTGTACGAACCGTACACCCCGTCAAATCTGTCATGTGACATACTACACGGGTTGTACGAATGACCTTGACCTTAGATGGAATGTGGCTGACAAACGGCTGATCGCTGTGAAATTTTAGAGTTGGTGCATACAATTATGAGTGTAAACACAGTAATAAAAATGTTGCCATAATTCCTTAGTTATTTGTGTCAATAAATATATCCAAAAAGTAAAATGTTTCTGTATTTCTCTTGTTGTTTAACAAAATCTCAAATTCGATAATGTTTATCATAAACGAAGTCGTCCCGAGTTATCTCCCTTTATGACCATTCAGGAAAAATCATGGCAAAACGTTTTGCGTCTCATTTTGCCGATGATTGAATGTTGTTGTTTAAAGATAAGCTAAATAAAAAGATCTTAAGGGTAATAAATTCGTCACACAGTGTTTTGAAAGGGTGTACGTGAGGCCTCAGGAAATACGGAATTTACAAGGGTCTTACAGTCCCGTACAACCTTTCAAAACACTGTGTGACTAATAATATTACTGTAATTAATCTATCATGGAAACATAATATAAACAAACTTTTTTTGAGTGGTATGTACAAACTTTCAATATTTTCGACTCAAATGCAATATTATCATTCTCAAATAAATTGGACTTCCTACAAGGAATCAATAGTCTGAAATGTTCAGTAACTTTGTATGGACAGCCAGCTTTCATTTACAGAACTGTAAAATATGTCCAACTGGTAAGGACATCTATCAGTGGGTCTCACCGAACACATAGAACAGTGAAGATCCGGGTTAGAATTGATCTTCAGTAACCCATGCTTGTTATAAGTTGCGACTAATTGGATTGGTTGGTCAGGTTTGCTGACTTGGTTGACACATGTCATCGTATCCTAATTGCGTAAATCGATGCTCATGCTGTTGATCACTGAATTGTCTGATCCAGATTCGATTATTTACAAACCACCGTGACATAGCTGGAATATTGCTGAGTGTGGCGTAAAACTAAACTCACTTACGCAATGGCACATAAGGCAAAGGTTTACCTAGGCTGGCCTTAACAACAGTTTAACAGACCAAAACCTGTCAGCCATGTTGACAATTTCATTTACATTTCATCAGCCTCTGGGCTGGAGTGAGATACTTGTGACATTTTAAATTCAGTGTTTTCAAAAGCAGCTGCTTGGCAAGAAAATTGTAACAAACATATGTATCTTTTTCAACATTGTGTTTTTGTGTTGGTTCCTCACCAAATAACAATGGTTTCAAACTGAGGGTCGTCAAGGTCAGTGTCCTGCCATCAAGTTGCACCTCCTTCACGTCACCCACCTGTAAATGTAGGTATCCTCATATGAATACACAATGCCTTTATGAAAGTGGTCAAATGTAACATTTGTTATATTTAGGATTACACTTTGTAAGAGTACAAATTCAAGTACTTTTTACGTTGATCCCATCCGGGATTCAACCCCACACTCTCAGAGTTATGAACCTAATTGTCAGTACACATAGTCAGCCATCTAACCCACTCAGCCATCTACCCCACTCAGCCATCTACCCCACTCAGCCATCTAACCTACAATTGGATAAAAAAAATGGAAGTTGGACAACTGGTAATCTGCAGTTGTCTGTGGTCTGAGTTTGCCACGATTAGGGCCCCATCGTTGGGAGTCAGCTTATGTATGAAACATACCATTTTGACACTGATTTTAAGGGTCAAGTTAGGTCAGGTCGGCTTATCTATGGGGTCGGCATATCTACAGTGATATACGGTAGGTCACATACTTTGTGTGTCGCTCTGACACGTGTAATTTGGCACAGCCGAAAGTATGTATACACAATGCCAGTTAGAAAGTGGTCAAATGTAATATATGTTACATTTCGGATTTTCAGTAAAGTACAGATTCGGGTATGTTTTGTTGTTTTCGCTTTTTAGGCATCCTAATGGGCAGTCATCAACAGTTTCAGGCCCTCAAATAACGTTTTAATGATCAAATGTTACATATCATTATGAGTGTAAGTGTCTCAGATATATACTGTGTTATTTCGGCTGTCTACATTTTTCACATATTCGCATTTTTGTAGAAAACAATGTGGCATGGATGTGATCACTTCTGCATTGAGCATGTTGTGTTTGGAAGATGTATTTTGTATTTAATTAGTTTGAACTTGTGTTTTTTAAATTTTTCAAATTTAATTTTCAAAGTGGTAAAGTTTCTTTTGTCCTCAGTTTATTTCAAGTCACCATTGACAGTGGCTATTGTTATTTTTCTATATGTACATTTTGTGCATGTACAAATTATCAGGAGCTCTGAATTAAACGCTTTAGTAAGTAACACAAAACACATGAACATGTGAAACCAGAGACCATATAATAGATATGATAATCTATTATATGGTCTCTGGTGAAAATTCAGCATTATAATATGACAAATAGTGAATACATTTTATGAATGATTTACTAAGTAAGCCCAACCTTCAAGGGAGGTAACTGCAGTATACTTTGTCTGGTCAGGTGATAAGCCGAGCCAACCTGTCATTGATTTTCTGCCTCAGTGTTTTAGCCAGGATTATTATTATTATTCGTTCGTTCATTTATTTCAGTAATAAGGCCTCAGGCCCACGTACATATTATATGCAAATATTTACAGTTGGTGCTGCATTTCCTAAATTTTAAAGATATGACGATCGTAGACTGACAGCGTCTGTCACAAAATTTGCCAGGTTTTTTAACAATAAAACATCAGAGGACTGTAGCATTCTTACAAGATTCTCTCTGTGACTGATAGTGTCCACGTGTAAGTAAGGACAATATTTAAGACGTATATCATGATAAACAGGACAAACAAAAATAAAATGAATTTCATTTTCAATAGCATTTAAACTACATAGTGGGCAAAAAACGGATGTTCTTGTCCATACCCTGCCTCCTTCCTGTATTTTGCATTATATCAAGTTAGCAGATTCTGAACAAGGTAAGCATGCGTGTGTATTCTTTACATAAACTGTTTAGGTATAGCTCGGGAAAGAGGGACACTTTGAACTCTGCATACAAATTTAGTTTGGAACAGTTTGACACCTCAGAATACCATGTTTGTGTATAACAATCTTTAACCCTAAGCTTAAATTCATTTATAAAGCAACCCACATACCAACACCTTGGCATTGCCAAACTATTCCAAAACCTAGAGAATACAATAGATGCTTAATGTGAGTAACCCAAGTTTCCCTACCAGCTGCATCTAAACCTACTAACATACTATAACACTGTTTGGGGTACCTGTTTTGAGACATATTAAGAAGTTTGAACCAGTATCTTATACATCTGACATATGTATCTACGTAAATACCATAACGACCTCATTCGCCCAATACAGCAACATTGGTAGATTGGAGCCAACACCCAAAACAAATTTAAAAAATTTAGCTGGAAGCGTTCAAGAAACAACCACTGGTGGACACCCCAAATCTCTGAACCGTACAGAATTATTGGTTTGATTTGTGAATCAAACATTTTAAACAGAACCTTTGGAGATATATTACGAAGTTTATAACTTAGTTGATGAATGGAAACCACAGCTTTAGTAGCTTTCTGGACTAATGTTTGTACAGCTTTGGACCAGCACAATCTATTTAAACAAATGATACTGAGATAACAATAGTAGGTTGATATCTTGATTGGGACATCGCCCAGTTTCCATTTTTGCATATTTCCTTAATTTGCCACCATTTCGAAAAACCAATATTTCAGTCTATCTCAATTGACTCTTAAGCCCCATTTGTTACAAAACATGTGTAAAACATCTATTTTGTTTTGTAGCTTGAGAACAGAGTCTGCAAAAATGCATAAATCATCAGCATAGAGAAGTATACAGAACTCTAATAAATCTTCATGAACAAAGATCCCCCTGCCACCGAAATGCTGAATGTCATTTTCCAGCTGGTTTATGAACAATAAAAATAATAAAGGACTTACAATGCATCCTTGTCTAACACCACTGAAACAATTGAAATAATCCGTGATATTGCTCCTTGATATTTTAACAGAGGCCAAAGTTTTTGAATACATGTCCTTAATGATAGTAAAAACTTTACCATGAATATCATTTGAATAAAGGACATACCACAAAAGTTCCCTGTTGATGGAATCAAAAGCCATTCGAAAATCGACAAATAGACAATAAAAAATCTTCCATTTGATTTAGATAAGTACTTCTTTACTAGAGACTGGAGAGTAAAGATATTATCAACCGTAGAATACCTCTTCCGAAAGCCAGCTTGACACTCTGGGTATTTATCATACAAATCTACAAAGAATTTTAATCTGTTATTCAAAACTTGTGTAAAAACCTTGCCACAAATGTCCATGAGGGAAATACCACGAAAGTTGTTGACATTATGAACGTTTCCTTTCTTGTGGAGTGGAAAGATGATACTTCTGGACCACTGATCTGGAAAATTACCACTTCTAAATATATTATTGAAAACAGTAAGGGGATAAGGAAGTAAGATATTTTTACCACACTTTAACATTTCGGGCAGGATACCATCAGGACCAGCTGCTTTGCCACATTTCAAGGCATCAATTTCACTTAAGACCTCCTCTACCGTAAAATCACTGTTCAACAAACTGTTGATATCCTGATCATTACAAACATTACAATTCACAGGTTTATGTTCTGTGACGACACTGCTACAAAATGCAACAAATTCCTTATCTATTACATTTTCAGTAATGTTCAGCACAGCCTTAAAATATTCAATCCATTGTGCAACACTAATAGTTGAAAATGTTACTGGAGGCTTTCTGATATGAGACTTCACTTCTGCCCAGAAAGCTTTTGCATTATTATTGTCATGACATGAATAAAAAATTGTAACTACCGCCGCTTCTTGAAATGCTTCCCGTTTGCGGCGACATAACTCCCTAACAACAAGCTGGCATAGATACCACCTTCTCCGCGTCCTCCAGCCTTAACAACATTCTCCATGCCAATGGAAGAAAACCACCCACCGTCAAGAACAACAACCCAAAATGTGTCATCTACAGAATATACTGTGATTGTGGGCAGAGCTACATAGGCGAAACTTCCCGACCCATCAACACCCGATCGAAAGAACATCAATTCCGACAGCAAATCAGCCATTTCAGACCATATCAAAGCAAGCCCCAATCATCAAATAGAGTGGTCTGACATCACCATTCTCGCTAACAAACAAACAGACTTCACTAAACGCAAGCTCACCGAAGCCATCCACATCAAATGCCAAAAGCCCATCATCAACCGAGACCAAGGATACTTCATTCCATCCGCTTATGATGCACTCATCCACCAAGCCCAATCTACTGTATAAACTCTGCTGTATAAACATCTCATTATTATTTGTACATCATTGGCTTCCACGCCTGTCCTTTGTCTACTCTCTGGCTTCATCAGCTTACTGCCTAGCCAATTATGTTAATTATGTGTTTTTTTTGTTACATTGTTACATCCAGTATATATATACTTCCCCCTTCTTCATGTTCCATTAATGCTTGACAACGGTACAAGAATCTGTATCGAAACATTGTACTCACGAATAAAAAGAAGTTGTTATCCATAAAGTTTGTTCTATATCAACCACTGTATACTGACAGCCAACCAATCCTTGATTTATGGCTGCAATGCTTGTTAACAACAAGTACCATCTATTTACATGTTTGGGTTTGACACGGCCAGGGATTGAACCCTGATCTTCTGTTCTGAAGGTAAATACTCGATCCACTAGACCATGGAGGTGGCCAATAGTCTGACTATAGCTTCCAAGTGAGAACAAACAACAAAATGATCCACTTTTGCCAGGGAGTGTATGTAGCACAGTCCTTGTCAAAACTAAACCCAACAGTGAGATTACTTATTAACTCTTCTCAATTCACTGTAATATGTCTGAAGGTGTGAGTTTGGAGGAAAATGATTTTATGTTGATGAAAATCTGGGTTTTTCACAGACAAAAAAGATTGAGACCTGTTCCAAATTTCCCAAATGATAAACATACAAAATAGATATCATCTACGATTATCCATTCTGTTATGATAAACAACATGGTCCCATAATTAACACTATTTTGTGTGGTGCCTGATTCCAATGGTACAACATTAAAATTAGGCATACACTTCAAAGACTCATGTGCAAGAGAAATGATTAAGATGACAATGATGATGACGAAGATGATGATGATGATGATGATGATGATGATGATGATGATGATATCACTTACAAAAGATAAGTGAATAGCCTCCAGGTGTTTATGGTAATACAATTGAGGATCTGTTTCTACAATACATAATAATTGATATGAAAAAAGAAAAAGGCATTGGTTGACAAACAGGCAAGCAAACATAGAGTGAATATAAAATGAAACTTTTTTCTGTATTTTATTCTTAAAGTCTAAAATTGTACACATTTATTGCATCGTTGATGTGCTTTTTGCATTTTTTAGAACAAATCAAATCCTAAAAGTCACTAAATTCTTTGAACATTGTTGACTGGAAGCGACTTTGGCCCGTTGTAATATTACGTGAAGAGACATAAAATAGCCAGTTTAGCGTGAGGAAAATTGCACTTCAAAAGGACGGTATTTATGAACAAATTTAAGAACAAAGATATAACCACCCTCCTATGACACACCCTTTGATATGTTGATTCTGATATAGACGTTCAAAAATATTACTTATACAATGACAATATTATACATACCAATTCTGAGGAAGGGCCAATAATTGAATCCTGAATTTTTCGAAATTCATCGAAGTTCTAAGTTTCTGACCTTATCCATGAAATGTACAATAAAACAGTTTGATAAATGGCTAACTTGGTATCTTGAAACGACGTATATTTGATTATTAGAAGTCATAGCAGACTTTCACGTGACCACAGGTAACGCAAAACCTCGCATCAATGTCTATATTGATTGTCACTTAGCACTGTATGAAAAAATCAAAGTCCATCGTTTAAATTTAAATGTCTTCAATTGCATTTCACAATCACCATCACTGATTCAAAACTATGTGTCAGGTATCTGATGCACCGCTTTCTACATTTCCGCATTACGGGCCAATACACACGCCAAAAGATGGCTTTGTTGCGCCTAACAGCAATATGGAACCCCTGTCAATAAAGCGTAAACAACAATCACCGCTCACCTTGCCTCCGTCTAGACGGGTTAATCTGTACCCATCTTCCCCATCGCACTCCACCCCCTCCTCGGTCTGTCTACACACGCCGTCTGACCCCCCGCAGACGCCCGGGAGGGTCAAAATGACCGCAAAAACAGCCTGCCACCGATGCCCGAGCCGAGCCATAGTAATTAGCCCAGTTCCGGGTGTTATCCACTATCACGTGGCAAGCTCTCGCGCTGAGAAACAACAAGTCGTTGTTCTTATCGCAATTATCAGTTTACGTTGGATTAAAGTGTCTTATAAATAGTTTACTTGATTTGAGAGTTTCTATACGAGTACGTAATTCACCTTAGCTATATCGTTGCTTAGCAATATAATCGTTAGCAAAATAATCAATAGATTGTTTATTCATTCTATCGTGTACGAGCATGTTGTTAGGGTTGTGTTGTGGAGCTCCCCACGTCTTGCTTTGAGAGATATTGTTTGACACCAAAAGGGAAAACACACAATCTTATAAACATAGGGATCGGCAATATCAGATTACACCACGTTGTATACAAGCAGGACTGGATGTATCACGATATTACAGCTGTATCTTGTAATCTAACATCCGTGACCAATGTTTTGGTACGAACAATGGGGTATTCTACTTGTCCTTGTAAAACAATCGATAGTGTGTGTGTGTCTTTATATGATTGGTTAAAACATATGAATATTATATTAAAAGCTAGGAGGTCTAGACTATTCACGATGTAGGACTATAAATAATTCAAATATCAGTCTATTCAACTGTAATATTTGCCAATGCCATATTAAATATGTTTTTCAAAGAAATTGCAAAGAAACTTCGTTTTGATTGGTTTAGATTTCATTGTCAAGGATAAACATCGGTTATTCCACAGTGATGTCATTTATCTCCTACACCCGAGGGCGGTGGAGTAGCCTCGTTGTTAAAGCGTTTGCTCGTCACGCTGAAGATCCGGGTTCGATTCCCCACATGGGTACAATGCGTGAAACCCATTTCTGGTGTCCCCGCCGTGACATTGATGGAATATTGCTAAAAGTGGCGTAAAACTAAATTCTCTCACTCCTACACCTGAGTAGATGTATAAGGAGATCTCTGGAGACAGTTATAACTACTTCATCTATTTACAACGTCAATAAATCACCCGTACAAGCGAGCAAGAGTAAATTCGAGTACCGTGTTTACTCACGACCACAGTCAAATGACGTCACACACAAACTTACGTCGGGAGAGCAACCCAAGGAGGAGTATTTTACTGATATCAGTATTTATTACCCACGAGGGCGAACATATCGGGGTTCATATTTTTCATACGATGCCCTAGGGCAAAATATCACTTTGTCATGGTGACGTGACGTCATGAACAAGGCTATGACGTCATGTTTCTTCTGTGACGTTGCGTTCTACATGCGGCGACGGCGGGTAGCCAGACTGTTTTTGAAGGTAGATTTGGGTTTATTTTCTTCAATTTGACGACTTCGGTAACAAACAGAATATTATATTCGTGCCCATATCATACTATGTTTACGACACTCGTGCCTAAATATCGGTACATCCCTCGCTCTCGCTCGGGAAATACCAACATTTAGGCACTCATGTCGTAAACATAGTATGACATGGGCACGCATATAATATCCTTTATATAGAGTATATCACATAATCATGTGTGCCATTCTGATTATACGATACGAGTTGCAAAATTCTTGCATTTCTTGATCGAGAGCAAGCATAATAATTTAATTTCTACCCACATGTTCTCGATCCTTTAGAATGCACAGATCACGACTTCCAACTTCCAATGATATAAGACCGACATCAACAACCTTCAGTTCTGACGTCATTTGTATCCCTACATCAGTCCGATATTTTCCGTCACAATATGATTCGAGAGGCCTCGCAGATTTTTTTTCACATTTTTAGGGGAAAGGGCCTGTTATCAGTAATGTCCGGGTCCAAAGCAATTTCTACTGGAATACATAGGCTTACGCATGGCACAGTGCTACGAACGTTTTATTCGGTTATTTTTAAGCTGGTAATGGATATCCTGATGACGTGTCATAAACACGTGTTTTGTGTATATAATATAATGTTCTCGTGGTTTATAGCGCTTGATTAATTTAGTGACACTGGACACCGTATATTGGACATTGATACCGCATAGTTCCTATATATCTATAGAGTGAGTGAGTATGGTTTTATGCCGCTTTTAACAATATTCCAGCTATATTAGGGCGGGGGTATACTAGTATCTATTCAGAGTTTGCAACCCTGTCATGTCTTACACTGGGATGAAACATGGCAATAAGAGAATGGGATGAGTGACTCGTCATTTATGACAGATCACCACCAGACATTAATCTGACACAGTCTGTTCATGTACAGGGAATCGAACCCGGGTATTCGGCATGCCAGGGCAATCCCTTTAACCATAAAGCTAACTGTACACATGCTGTTATGATCAGAATGTCAAGAGCTGTGAAATATATAGCTGCCAACTATGCATTATAATATATATCTGCCGGTCCTCGTCAAATAATTTTTCATTTCTTGTAGCAGTGAGTTAGTGAGTGGTTTGAAGTTCACATGGGCACCGATTCAGCCACATCGTGAGTAAAACATGCTATACATTATTTAACACATGATAAATTTGGGATTACATTTATTCAGTAAAGCACATAAAGTCAGCCGTCTAACCCATTCAGCAACTACACAAAGTCCGTGGTCTAGACTACTAGCTGTCCATTTTGTGGAAGTCGTGGTGGCTGAGTGGGTTAGACGGCTGACTTTGTGTGCTGGGCCTAGATTTTCGCAGCTCTCTTAGCACTAAGATAGTCGTAAGTTAATGTTAATGAATGGCACTTACGACTATCTTAGCGCTAAGAGAGCTTCGAAAATCTAGGCCCCGGCGATTAGGTGCCTGACTCTGAGCGTGTGGGTTCGAATCCCGGATGGGACTCAACCCAACAAAAATACTAGAACCTGTACTTTACTGATAAAGCGTAATCCCAAATATAACGTGTGTTACATTTGACCACTTTCTGAATGGCATTGTGTGTTCATAGCTATACATTATTAACAAGTACGTTTAGACTCTACAAACCTGTCGACAGTGGACAGTAAATCAAGTAGATTATCACAAATTTGCAACCATAAATACACATCTCTGCTCATTATAAAAACGTTCTATAGATCCCCAGCAACCAAGGTGAGTTCACCGAACCCAAGGACCACCTGGACCCCAAGTACCTTTGCTACCTGCAAAATACACCAGCAGGATTCACACCATGGCGATTGCTATCAAATATAGTCAAAAATTAAGAAAAACAATACTGCGATTAAAATGCCCGTGGCAGTTTGTCCTCATTTAATAAGGAGGAAATAAATTCAATCTAGCCTTCCGTTATTTGAGCGTCAACCTCCTTCTGGTTCTAACTATACATTAAATGTAAATAGTAAATGTTACGTCAGAGTTGTTATTTTTAAAGGAAATCTTACATTATAATTTTGAAGAGAGAGTACAATTTAAGCTAAGCAATTCAAAAACTCTAAATATCATTTACTCGAACTTTCCTGTTTTGTCTCTTGTTACGTCGAGTGTACTCCCGCTAATCAGCGATGAACCACTACCGTAGCTATACGAAAACTATGTTTATTCAGGTTGCATGTGAGTTGTCGTTTTATGCCACTTTTAGCAATATTCCAGCAATATCCCGGCAGGGGACACCAGAAATGGGCTTCACACATTGTACCCATGTGATGTTTATACGACGTTAATATGAATTAATGACCTTATGTAAAACTAAGTTTGGATTTATAAAATACAGTTGATACTGTACATGCCTGTACTTATTTACGAAAACAATCAGCATCTGTCTGATGTCACGGCTTGTATACGCAAGGGTGCGCTGTGTTCCTGTAATCAACTCAACCCACTCATCCACTCACTCACTCACTCACTGGATTGTTTGGATGTTGGCCATCATTTATATCTGGAGTATTGCACAATGCGTCGTTAAACACACACACACAAAAAACAACAACAGCAGCAACAAAAAGTAGTAAAGCAACAGTGCAAACATTTATTTAATGTGAAAACAAATAATTTTAGTGCGCATTAAACAGGTCTGCCAGTTTGCTACCAAATGAATTAAACTATTACGAGACTGTACAGTTCAAGAGCGACGTAAAACCATACTCACTCACTCAAACCTGGTAGCTTTAACGTGTTTCTCTGATTTGCATGATTAAGAGACCGAAGCAAACATGGCGAACAGATAAACAGATATGGTAGCCCACGGTAGCGGTTGACGTTGGTTATCCTTGCAGTAAATTGAGTACCTATATAAGGGAATGAAACTGGTTCTCTAACGAACACCTAAACTACTGGGTTAACCAACCATGCGTGTGTATGAAGAGAATGCATGTTATATCTACAAATCCAGAGTTAAATATCTTTCGGACACATGTTCCGTATACGGTCGGAGTGAAAACGATAGCAACTGAGACTCGTCCGAATTTAATTAAAACAATGTTTATATCTCATAAAATCCAAGGTGTATCCATTTTTCGTCACGGAAATATACAAATATATACATAATGACATACTTCGAAACAAATTGAATGTTTAGTTTCATAAATATTTTATTCAGAATACGAAATACACTGTTTATGGTTGATACATTGGTATCACAATGTACATAATTTTATTTGGCACAAATATGAGACACTGTACAAACTAATCGAGATGAAAAATGTTAGATTTATTAATACCGATGCAATATGAACTAAATCATGTTCATGCATATCGTGTTTTTGGTAAATCCTTTTGGATAGTACATAGTTATTTGTTAATGTCCCTCACCCCCCTGGCCTATAATCAACGATCTATAAAAGTTATGTTTGTAAACATGGTATAGATGTTATACACCTTTTTAGCACCAACAGTGCATGAAACATTTTTGTAAATCTTTTTGGATAATGCATAGTTACTTTTTAATGGCCTTGGTCTATCCCCCACCCCGACCCTCGATCCCCCTCAACCCCGAACATCCATCCCACCCCCAGGCCCATCCGCACGCCTCTTCGTCTATTTCTTGGATGACATCTTCTCCTCCTTCTTCTTCGCCGCCCGCTCTTCATCCAGCCTCTTCAGTTTCTCTTCTCTCATCTGCAGCTGATGTTCCGCCATCATTTTCTTCAAGAACAGGCGACGTTTCTTCTCGTCTTTCACAGCTTTGTGCTTTAATTCTCTGTCCAGCTGTTTCCACTGAACTTGATCAACTAGCCTGCAATAGGTGATTGTAATCGGAACATGTCAATCAAATCGGACGAAGGCACATAACTATGTCAGTAGCAGTGTTCATGGAACCATATTTTTGCAACGTTTACGATTCATATATTGTCTATGATAAATCACTAATCACAATATTTAATGAGGATCCATTGTATATGTGAGGTAATGACATACTTGTTAAATCTGAAAGTGTCAGCCTTCTGTCTCCTCCTCTCTGCTGTGTAGAAGCACCGCACTGGGATTTGCTCCAGACGTCGGGGTGGTTTGCCGCGGGAACCAACACACTCGGTGGCGGGCACAGAGAAGGCCACTCCTCCTCGTGTCTGGTGGACAGGGACCAGCCCTTCCTCTCTCAGCTGCTGAAGAATCTCATCCCCTGACAGGCGGGGCGTCAACTGACTCTTGGCGTAGTAGAGTTCGTGAGGGCAGTTGATCTTGCCCGCCAGAGCCTCCTCGGGAGATGTTTGCTTCAGTGGTGTGACCTTAGTTTGCTTACATCCCATTTTAGTCGATACTCTTTGACGCTGTTGTAAATGCGGCTTATTTCCATGCGCATGTGGGTAACAATAGCATGACGTCACAATACCGTGACATCAGAGTGACATGACGTCAGAGATGATACAGATGTTGTGTGCAAACCTATGCTATGCGGCTCAAGGTTTATGTTTGGCGATTAAGTAAAACAAATGCACCCAACCACTGCATTATCTCACATGTGTCAACCAAATCAGCGAGCCTGACCACCCGATCCCGTTAGTCGCCTCTTACGACAAGCATGGGTTACTGAAGATCAATATTCAAACCCGGACCTTCACGGGTCTATGCGACCTGTAATGGACACTGGATGAATCCTAAATGTGGAAAAATATAGTCCTCCTCCACCCTATCCGGCTACCTACGGCCCTGGAATAAAGTGTTTTACTTGACGTGATGCACTACGTATAACACAAACAACTCCATGTCCTTGATAACATCGTACGACAACACGTAAAGCGGCCTTCACATGGCAAACTAAAGTTTGACAACACATGTTGTTAAAATTTTAAAAATTGTCAAACTCGCGTTTTCACACATCAAACACATGTTGTCAAACTTTCGTGTCATTTGAGCGCCATGTCTTTATCGTTGCGGTCATGTGACAATTTCGTTGTCTGCGATTGGTTGTTTCTGAACAACATGAGTTTGACAACACCTAAAGTTTGATGGAAAAGTTGGTGAGAATAGAGACCGATCCTATTTATCGACAACAGTTTGACAACTCTGAAATTTGTGTTGATGGAGATTTGTTGGAATGTTCACACTCTCAAACTTGAGTTTGACAACATGTATTGTCAATCTTTAGTCTGCCGTGAGAAGGCCGCCTAAGATTATACTGAATGAATGAATATTGCTTTATGCCGCATCAGCAGTTGTCCAGCTATTCGCGGCATATAATAGCTGGAACGTGTTCATTGTCAGGGAGTAAGACGATGCGAACTCTAAGCTAATACATGTTCACAATACCCTCGTTGTATTTCATAAATACGCTCCTTTACTCCGAACATCCTTGCCCCAGACCTCTCCCTCACGACACAATGAGAAATGAAACATGTTTGTTTCTTCTCCAGTTATTCAGAAACGCCCAGCCGTCCGGATTAAACAGGCGTCCAAGTACCAAGATTGTTTACCTCTTGGTTGAAACTGCCATTGCAAGCGAAATCCGTCTCACCCCCTTTTTCAGCGTTGTTCAAATACATCAGGATTGTCATATACCTGTTAAGAAGATGTTAACATGGACAGAATTCAGGAGTATTTGGAGCAAGTCCACTCTACATACAAATTGTTTCCTTATATGTTAATGGGGCTTTAATGTATTCACTTTTCATTATGTATAGTAGTGAAATAAGGTTAGGGTCGCCGTCTAGAATTTTGCATTTATTTCGCGATGTATGTGTGTGCGTGCGCGTTCAATCCGTGCATGTGTTTGCATGTGTGTGTCTAACCAACCCCTGCAAATCACCAGACAGTGTAACATTTATACCAACGTCTCTCAACGTCTCTGGTATTGAGACTGAATTGTCTGGTCCAGACTCGATTATTTACAGACCGCCGCTATATAGCTGGGATTTTGCTTAGTGCGGCATAAAACTAAACTAAACTCATACATATGCTTTGCCCACGTTACGCTGGAAAGATTTGATTTTATCGGCGTACATTCATGACCATATTTTAATTGAAGTCGTCCATGACCAGGACTAAAAGCAGTATCAATATCGAAAATCTATTTTGACACATTCGTTATCATAGTGTTGCTTTGGGCCGAACTTGACACTTCTTTTCAATTTTACGGACTTCTCCCATAATGATTTTCATGTAAATTATATCTGTGGGTTTGGGGCAACATATATATACGCAATGTTTGTGACTTGTAAGTCACAGTTAAAACACTTTAAAAAGATTACGTTGAATTTTTAAATAAAATATTCCCCAAATCCCAGCTGTGTACTTTCATTTGTACGTCAGTATTGACAAGATGCGACGTCACTTTTTCACAAACCGTATCACCATACCATGTTTTGTGTAATGATTCTTTCTGTCAGAACCAGATTCACAATCATAACTACAGCCACATGCAAAAATCCTCTGAGCAATGTTGTATGTATTTTCTGTGTTTCCAATCAAACCCGCCTTTAGTTTTAAAATTCGATATAATATAAGGTATTCTCCATTTATATTTGGCTGGAAAATCTACCTCACTGAATAATTTAAGAATATTACCAAGTGATCTAAATTATACAATTTCATAAAATAAGGAACACAATTAGTAAAAAACATTTTAAAAATATTTTTATATTTATACATATTTTTCGCCCGTCCATTTTCCCTCTGCCTGAAGTTGGAGATGAGAAACACTAATAATACTGATAGCCAAATGGGAGTTCCAGTATAGTCGAGACACCCACAGTAATTGTAACTTGCTCTCGGGAAAGATCTGGATGCTGTTGGCGGGCACATCTGTCAGGGGGAACGACCTCTAGGCAACAGATAATTTACTAATGAGATCTGTAGATGATAATCTGGCTGAATCGTTGCGACAGGCTCGGTTTCTGTATTTCCGTTACCGGAAGTCGTCTGATAACAACAATCACCCAATAGGGCGTTCCTGGAAGGATTGACGGAGCTTAGCAGCGTATGTAAGCTTGACAACTTCCTTGATGCTTTTAGCAAAATATTTGCTTCTGGGGGAATAATTTTGAAAATCATTATCAAATACTGATATCTCTGCTTAGTTTATCTGTTATTTCGAGGGGTGGTGAGGTAACCTAGTGGTTGAAGTGTTAGCTCGTCACGCCGAAAACCCGGGTTCGATTCCCCTCATGGGTACAAAGCTCATTTCTGGTGTCCCCCGCCGTGATATTTCGGGAATATTGCTAAAAGCTTCGTAAAACGACAACTCACTCACTCTGTTAGTTCTAACACAAATTGTTGAAAATGGGAGAAGCAGCTGTAAAATCTATTCTGATAATAGTTTCAGTGAAACCTCTTCATATCTCAACTTTATTACCAACAAAACTAACCATCCAGTTTCTCTATTTGAGCTGTCTCGCGATCATAGCAATAGTATCTGTCGACGAATACAATCCATTTATATTCAGAGAGGAAGTAGCATGGTGTTGCAGATGCAATGACGATCAAATGACACGATACAACAAGCCGTGAAATCAGAACTCTCTCAGCTTGGGAGGAAGGAAATGATCTAAGAGGGTGTGGAACAGATGGTGTAATTATTGTCCGTGACAACAGGACCCGTAACACGTAACACCTTTAACCCCTTCCTCCTATCAGCTCACAGATGGACGTGTTAGATAATGGATTACGCAACATCGACATTACCGTTAATAAATATAGTCTACTTTGACAACGTGAATTGCAGACACGATAACGTGGTTTACTGTCAGGAAGTCAGGGTTGTTGTCCCTATGTTAAACAACTATTTTGTCTGGTCAAACCCCTGTGGTGTGAAGGTCAGTTTGGGGTAGTAGATGTGTAATTTAATGTTAATGTTTCAAAAGAGTTAAAATACTTATAATAGTACAGGCGAGGATGTTATTTCTAATTATTCAGGAAGTGTCTTAATTTGTAAGGGTCCATTTTGCCCAAAGTACGAAAGGTACTGGCGGGAAGGGACTTTGAGGCTCAGGTGCCAAGTACGGAACATCAGGAAATAGCCATTGTGTCGAAGCGTGTTACAAAGTAAATATTGTATTTTAGATGTTACATATACGTATATTTGTGTCTAAATATACAAATGGTGAAAATGTAAATTAGATTAGAGATTTATTATTAAACTAGTATCTATAACATATAGGAAAATCATTTCTATATTTATAGTGAGATACACAGTCCAATATGCAAGCATTTGTTAAGGAATTGAGCTATTAGGCTGACATAATTTGTATATCTCTTATCTACACCTCCCTTACTCCGCCCCAACCCCCTTCACTCTCTCGATAATATAAAGTATATGTATATAAAAAAGAAACCATTTACTCAGTTGAGATCTTATATACCATAACGGTCTATTTTTACTTTAATTTGTATTCCAATACATCATGTCAGAATGATGATATCATCGTGTAATTAGTGAGATAATATTAAAATAATTGTTCAAGTAATCAGCTGCCAGTGACTTAATTCCACAATTGTTTTGAACGTGTGCTAAAGTTCAGACAAGAAATATTTTCAGTATCAATTATGTGCAATTATTCTCCCTGTTTTCCTTAAATACTGTTCTCATTTCGTTTCACATTACAGTTTATAAACAAAGGCTTTCCCACGTGCGCGTTGACTTTAACCTGTGTTTTAGACAAGCTTGTCATCAATGTCACATGGGTTATGACAAACATATCATTATATCTACGTCAGAGAACAATTAGTCTCGCCCATTTTGAGTAGATCACATATAATGCAACCTGTCCCCACCCGTCCAACAGCAAAAAAACAAATAAACTCAATAACAAAAAACAAAAACAAAACAAAAACACAAGACAAAAAAACACCTACAGGACCCCCACCCCCACCCAAAAAAAACAAACAAACAAAAAACCAACAACAGCAAACAAAACAAAACCCCACACACAACAAAACAAAACGAAAAGCAAAAATAAAAAATCAACAACAAACGAAAAAAATAAATAGAAAAACACACCAAAATAACCCCAAACAAACACATCAAACAAACAACCAAAATAAGATATGAAAGATATTAGAAAAAAAGCAACAACAAAAGAACAACCCCACACCAATGAAGTGATTTTGTAAAATATATGCACAAACTCTCGTTGTGTTCACACCTCAACAGGAGGACTTCGAACGTAATCCATGACCCTTCGACGACCTCTCTCTCGATCCCAGAGAAACGTATGTTTATACGCACGTCAGTAAAAAGGGACCATGTGATATTATATCATGTTTTAATGTTACTATTGTTAGGTTGAATCTCGACGTTTCAAAATCTAAACTGAACTAATATGGGCCCCATAGGTTTGTGCATTTTGAATGCTATAAATTTTAAGAAGCAATTTTCCTAGCTGTTTATGTACCCTTGGTGGTAAATGCCTAGTTGCTGTCCTTTCCGGTTTGCAAGGGAGCTACAATTTCAGGCCCTCTTTATCTATGACCCAACGTGCATCAGAATGACAGCAAATCATATGTCTGTCTAGACAAAACAGTCTGAAGAGCGATCACTCTTTTCAACATATCATATCAAATATAGTTATATCAAAGTTAAATATAATTAATAAACCCAGTTACTTTTCTCTTAAATAAATAACACTGAATTTATAAAGGAAACGGGGCGGTGGGGTAGCCTAATGGTTAAAGCGTCGGCTCGTCACGCTGACGACCCGGGTTCGAATCCCCACATGGGCACAATGTGTGAAGCCCATTTATGGTGTCCCCCGCCTTGATATTGCTGGAATATTGCTAAAAGCGGCGTAAAACCCAACTCACTCACTCACTCACTATAAAGGAAACGCACTTTATTTCCTACGTAAGGGCTATTTGTCATAGACACAGTATTTATGAGTAAATTATCTCTTCAGTTATTAAGAACCCTCTTTCGCCCTTAAGGGCCCATAATTTCAATGAGACGACACGGGTTGCCGAGTCAACCACCAAGTGTTCCTCTCAGCGCTCGGAACGCCATATACACAGTATGTATATCTCGGCTAGAGACAAATAGGTTAACATGCACACACACACACAAAAAACCCCAACAAAAACAACACACACACAAAAAAAAAACCAAACCAAACCAAACAAAAAACAAAAAAACAATAATCGAAAAAGAACAAATAAAAAAACACACCAGAATAACCCAAAACAAACACAACATCAAACAACCAACCAAAATAAGATATGAAAAATATTAGAAAAAAAGCAACAATAACAAAAGAACAACCCCACACCAATGAACTGTTTTGTAACAGTACATGCAGAAACTCTCGTTGTGTTCACACCTCAACAGGAGGACTTCGAACGTAATCCATGACCCTTCGACGACCTCTCACTCGATCCCAGAGAAACGTATGTTTATACGTACGTCAGTAAAAAGGGATCATGTGATATTCTATCATGTTTTAATGTTACTATTGTTAGGTTGAATCTCGACGTAGCCTAATGGTTAAAGCGTCGGCTCGTCACGCTGACGACCCGGGTTCGAATCCCCACATGGGCACAATGTGTGAAGCCCATTTATGGTGTCCCCCGCCGTGATATTGCTGGAATATTGCTAAAAGCGGCGTAAAACCCAACTCACTCACTCACTCACTATAAAGGAAACGCACTTTATTTCCTACGTAAGGGCTATTTGTCATAGACACAGTATTTATGAGTAAATTATCTCTTCAGTTATTAAGAACCCTCTTTCGCCCTTAAGGGCCCATAATTTCAATGAGACAACGACACGGGTTGCCGAGTCAACCACCAAGTGCTCCTCTCAGCGCTCGGAACGCCATATACACAGTATGTATATCTCGGCTAGAGACAAATAGGTTAACATGCCGATCTACTTGTTTTATTTTTAGGCAACATTCCTCCCGCCCGAGTACGGGATCGTAACTGAATATCGCGAGAACTGACATCAGTGGCACGTGCGGATGCAGAACACACCGTCTGGTGCCAGCGTCCGACGGACATGCACCTGTCCTTTGTCCCTTCATAACATCTGTGATCTGATTAACACCGCTGGGACAAAGACATACAGCTGTGTCATACTCAAGCCTAACTGTTAGGACGGCTGACTTTGTTTACGTGCACGACTTCACGGTTGCCTGAACCCCTACCCGCATTGCTTCAACTAACCACCTTATGCAGAACAGAATCATTCGAACCGCAACGCTGACAATACCCTTTATTCGCACTGAAATGCCTTTCCTATGATGTAAGAGGTCGGTATTATTTCAAGGTTTGGGCACTGGAAAGAGGACCCTAGTTTAAGGTACGGACACAGGTTTTACTACAAGACACAAACCAGAGGTGAGTTCGTGTTCTACATATAGATATTCTGAATTGCCAGCCTTGAGACAACACTCACTTCCCTAAGGCAATATCATTGTAACACTCGTTGTTTATGTGTTTACGTCTTCTGTTATAGAAAGTATACGGCTCGAATGTATGATGATAAATGGTGTGTGTTCTGTCACGAATTACATTATTATTATGTTGTACAGATTAAGGTGAAAAATGCAGAAAAAGAATTATTATTACTATAGGATATTTATATAGCGCACATATCCACGCAACTAAACATGCTCAAGGCGCTGTGCCCCCCCCCCCCCCCCCTTCCTCGATCATTGGATGTCAATCTTAACGGCACATCATTGTAATGCAACACGTATTGCATTAATATATTGACATTTAATTATTTATTCAACAATTAACTCACCAGCATAATTTTAGACATATAAACTACCAGACAAAGGAAATTATACTCCCATGATTGATGGTGTCTACACGCGAAGCAAACAAGTATTTGCTATTCGGTTGTGATGAATTTAATACTGATATCATATAGTCTATTTGCAGTGAAAACGTACCGATGAATTTCACTTTAAACAAAAAGGTAAATCAAATAAAGTGAAATTAAGTTTTAACAAACGATCATAGATTCAAATCACTATTATTGGTTTGTATTACAAGGGGGTACGCGCAGTAGTTGGAACACTGAAATAAATGCACGTGCGGTACGTGATGAGCGTTAACTTAGACCAACCCTACTTGTTCTCGGTGTTTCATTTGATGTGCATACACCCTTGTAATACAAACCAATATTAACGATTTGAATCTATGATCGTTTGTTAAACAACTTTTATCCTAAGTTTAATAAATTCTTATATTTAAATGTTCAGTTGGCAAGGTAAAATTATGAGGATTCTCAATCTTAATTTCACTTTATTCGATTTACTTTCTTGTGTATAAAGTGAAATTCATCGGTACGTTTTCACTGCTAACAGACTATAGTTGTATTTAGGGCTTAAGTTTGTTTCGGTGACTGTTGTCGGAATATTAACGTTTTGATGATATTTTTGTCCAGTTTTTAAGCATATACTTATTTTATTATAACTCTACTGGTGACCCACATATACAAGATACCCCGAGTGAACAGTGTGATATTACATTGGTCTAGATGCCAGTCTTCATCAGTAAACGTTGTACGTGACTTCAAATGAAGGCTACTATCTACATATATCTAGGATATGTTATTGTGCGTTAAGTTATCGGCACAACTTCTCGGTTAACGTAGGTTGTTCGTGTCACCGCTTTAGGGTCAGTAGTCCTGTCCGGTGTCCCAATACAGGAGCTGCAGCCTCCCATTCCCCTGAGTGACACTCGAACTGTCAGGCAGTGACGTCGCATTATCTATAGCACGGAAAGCCAGATTCCTCAGCTAGGTAAGTGATACAGTCACGTATAGTTTGCCATGCTGTATTCATCACGCACTGGTGTTCAGCATACAGTCACGTATAGTATGCCATGCTGTATTCATCACGCACTGGTGTCCAGCATACAGTCACGTATAGTATGCCATGCTGTATTCATCACGCACTGGTGTCCAGCATACAGTCACGTATAGTATGCCATGCTGTATTCATTACGCACTGGTGTCCAGCATACAGTCACGTATAGTATACTATGCTGTATTCATCACGCACTGGTATCCAGCATACAGTCACCTATAGCATACTATGCTGAATTTATCATACACTGGTATTCAGCATACAGTCACGTATAGTATGCCATGCTGTATTCATCAGACACTGGTATTCAGCATACAGTCACCTATAGCATACTATGCTGAATTTATCATACACTGGTTTTCGGCATACAGTCACGTGTAGCATAATTTGCTGAATTTATCATACATTTGTAGTCAGCATACAGTCGCGTATAGCATACAATGCTGAATTTATCATACACTAGTATTCAGCATACAGTTACGTATAGTATACTATGCTGAATTTATCATACACTGGTATTCAGCATACAGTCACGTATAGTATACTATGCTGAATTCATCAGACACTGGTATTCAGAATACAGTCACGTATAGTATACTATGCTGAATTTATCATACACTGGTATTCAGCATACAGTCACGTATAGCATACTATGCTGAATTCATCAGACACTGGTATTCAGAATACAGTCACGTATAGTATACTATGCTGAATTTATCATACATTGGTATTCAGCATACAGTCAAGTATAGTATACAAAGCTGTATTCAATCAGACAATGGTATTCAGCATTCAGTCACGTATAGTATACTATGCTGAATTTATCATACACTGGTATTCAGCATACAGTCACGTATAGCATACTATGCTGAATTCATCAGACACTGGTATTCAGAATACAGTCACGTATAGTATACTATGCTGAATTTATCATACATTGGTATTCAGCATACAGTCGAGTATAGTATACAAAGCTGTATTCAATCAGACAATGGTATTCAGCATTCAGTCACGTATAGTATACAAAGCTGAATTCATCAGACACTGGTATTCGGCATACAGTCACGTATAGTATACTATGCTGTATTTATCATACACTGGTATTCAGCATACAGTCACGTATAGTATACTATGCTGAATTCATCAGACACTGGTATTCAGAATACAGTCACGTATAGTATACTATGCTGAATTTATCATACACTGGTATTCAGCATACAGTCACGTATAGCATACTATGCTGAATTCATCAGACACTGGTATTCAGAATACAGTCACGTATAGTATACTATGCTGAATTTATCATACATTGGTATTCAGCATACAGTCAAGTATAGTATACAAAGCTGTATTCAATCAGACAATGGTATTCAGCATTCAGTCACGTATAGTATACTATGCTGAATTTAGCATACACTTGTAGTCAGCATACAGTCACGTATAGCAGACTATGCTGAATTTATCAGACACTGGTATTCGACATACAGTCACGTATACTATACAATGCTGTATTCATCAGACACTGGTATTCAACATTGTCACATATAGCATACTATGTTGTACTCATCAGACACTGGTATTCAGCATACAGTCACGTATAGTAAACTACATGTATGTTGTATTCATCAGACACTGGTATTCAGCATACAGTAATGTATAGTAAACTATGTTGTATTCATCAGACACTGGTATCTAACATACAGTCACGTATAGTATACTATGCTTTATTCGTTATTCACTGGTATTTAGCATTCAATAATGTATAGTAAACTAGGTTGTATTCATCAGACACTGGTATTCAGCATACAGTCACGTATAGTAAAGTAGGCTGTATTCATCAGACACTGGTATTCAGCATACAGTAATGTACTGTTCTTCATCATATACTGGTGTTCAACACACTATCTCGAGAACATAATGTATTTACAAAAACGTTTAAGGACAGAGTGATGGGATTCAAAGTCTCGTTCAAAATTATTTCAGTTTATAGTGATGTGAATTCAGTGTCTCAACACAAACACACGCTGTTGAAACTATGAAATACATATTGCGATGTTGCATAAATCATAAAAGAACATCGCACCCACGCTCCTGTTTTCACCTGATTTATTATATTTATTATCAGGCGTCAGTCCCATGCCCTAATCCCTTCCCATCCGTACGTCAACTTCTCCATACATCCCCGTCATATAGCTGGATATTGCTGTGTGCGGTGTAAAACTAAACTCACTCTCCCCATACATCCAGTCAGATTTATCCAAACGCGGGGCTCTCAGAATATGCCTATCACAGACACATAATTGATATAAATCTTACCATATGTGTACGGTATTTTAAGAAACGGGCAAAACATTTGATATGTTTTAATTTTTGGTTTTTGTCTTATTATGTCCAAACTGAGATTGTAAAATACAGATTATAAATAGTGCAATAATTTATGCCACAAATGGGACCATGATATATCGGGCTGTTTGTCGAATCCGGTAAATAGACCCACGGACGTATTAATCAAGAGATATTATGTGTGAGTTGAATGCTAGAAACCATTATTCATATATTCTGCAGTAAATATATGTCGCGACTGGGGTGTATAATTAGGAGATAAACCTACTGTGTGGGAAAATCAGAGGTATATAACGAAATTATAATAGCTCTAAATTTCATTTAAAACCGAACGCGTAGCGTGAGGTTTTAAATTAACAATTTAGAGCTATTATAATTCTCGTTATATACCTCTTATTTTCCCACAGTAGGTTTATCTCCATTCTACCATGACAATTTTATGAACAATTTCAGGTGGAGCTCTTTCTTTGGTTACGAGTCAATACGTGAAGCGGCCTCGCATTCCAATCTCAAAGTGGTATCGCCCGAAACGGGGTGTTTGGTGGCAAACCGTCAATGACTAACAAACTCCAGATTCAGTAATAACAAATCACATTTTGTTTTCAATGCATCAATCACCAATCATTAACTGATAAGTTGGAAAACATATATCAAATAAGTTTCAAAAGCTTGGTTCACATTTGAAAATTCCACCGTAGACCCTTTCCCCACCAGAATAGTGGCAGCAACCTCATGGCCTTGACCTTTTCTCGAAGTCATTGTTTACATTTGGAAAGATGCGACAGGAGAGCCACTGACAGTTTGCGCAAGGTTAACCTGATTGTATGACTGAGATAGTCTTTGATATCTAATTACTGGTACTGGTACAAAATTTAAGAGTAGGGGCGCTTTTGCTGTAACGAGAAGTCCGTGTTGTACCGAATTTAGCTACTGTTGAATTTTTGCGCCCTGTCAACTTGACGATTTCACGCACCTCTACGTCTGCGTGCGACAGCTGTGGTGACTCTTACACACTCATGTGTACTTTGTGCTCAAATTCGATTCTACGGATATTATTTTCTACATTTTGGAAAGTGTTTTGTGACCTAGTGGCTTCAAAGTGTAGTGAATTCAAATTGAATCGGATTGGCTGGCATGTTCGCGAGTCTGTTGACAAAGAGCCAGATTTGTGGTGATATTTCCGAAAGGATGGATCAGGACACGAGGGTGTACCTCTGGCATAAACACGGTAAGGTAATTAATTATACTTTAATAGACTACTTTAGATCAAGCAGTGTAATGGATAAGAGGGATCATGACTAAGCTAAATAACTTTTTCAACGATAAAAAAATATGTTGGGCTAAACAGAACGGTTTGCAGATTCTGTAGATCTAATTGTGTTTTACTACCGCTAAATTTGAAACAGTACAAATTTCAAAATATCATTTTGTTTGAATTGATAACCCAACTGTTTATTTATGTGGACCGAAGGCATTAGAATCTAAAATTTCTTCGGCGTTCGATGTTAATGCATCCTCCGTTACCGGATCAAGATCAGTGGCGATATCGTTGACGAAAGCTGATAATAAATTTAACACGGAAATTTTGTAGCAGTCTATTGCTGGATCTATTCTGACATAACATAGAATCAACGTAAACATATTTGTTTTTGCTGAATTTTTATTCGGAAAGCAGACGATGTTTTGATCTTGTTCGACTGAATATTTGTTTCCATGCTTTCGAAGTACTTTTGTATGTATAAACACCTATTGCTGTGGTTTACGCAAGTAGTGAGTCGTGCCCGTCATCGCTAAATCCATCTTTAAAGACATATGTGTAATTTCCGACAGTAAAATCGCCGTAATTTATCGATGCATCGGTAGGTTGTTCGGTGCCCGCCATGTTAGTGGGCAGACAAAAATAGTGCATTACCGTAAACCATGTATGATTGCGCACGGAAAACAGAGACCTGTATAACGTGATTATATACCTCTGAATGACTTTAATTAACCAATCACAATCCAGTGTTTACTGAAGTCATGGTATAATTTCTAATTAATGTGTGAGGTGTGCGTGCGTGTTCGGTGAGTGATTGGATGTCCTTAAGTACAATATGGCTCGTTTATTATTTCTTGCAGATAATATGCCCATGTTCGTGTTGGTTATGTTACTCGGGGTAACACGAGATACGCAATTGGAATAATGGGAAACATTTCCTACGCTTTCTGTTCATAAATCTTTTTTCATGTTAACAACGAAACCAATTATCGAAGTTAATATCTTATGTTGTAATATTATATGCTAGAATCACAGGTATTAGATGTTGAAATATGTACACGTAAGGAGTCTTTTGTATGCCTGTGTGTACCCACACGTCCGCGAACATATACCGCATATATTTCTAAAATACTGATGCACGTGTATTATTTTCCTATAAAGAAAGGCACTGGTGGAGTAGCCTAGTGGTCAAGGCATTTGCTCGCCAAGTCGAAGACTCGGGTTCGACTCCCACGACACAACATGTAAAGCCTGTTTGTGGTTTACTACTGGAATATTGCCAAAAGCGGCGTAAACCCATACTTGCTCACTCTAAATGCGATGCAAGTTTAGG